TGAATTCCAGGTGCATGTATCTGACGTTTGAGGTATGTCACTCTTGTTGGGTGTCAAAGGTGCGAGAGGGAATAAGTTCTCTGAAGGATAAACATGGACTAAACCAGCAGTTTTGAAATGCCTTTTCCTCAAAGCCAGGCTGAGGGGGAGCCAAGCTGAACAGGCAGAAGAGGCAGGTTCCCTGGGGAGAGTGTGAAGGAGAGAGAACAGGCAAAATTCCCCCTGGATGCTCTTTGTTTCTGTTGCCGGGAGTTATCACCCACCTGCAAAAGGGAACAGAACAGAGCACCTTTTTCCCTGATCCAAAAGCCTTACATGTAAGGACAGTCAGGCTCTACCACCTTGGAAACAAAGCCACAAGAAGGATTTGTCCAGGATGGGCACTACAATGGCTGGGATCACTCTTATTTCTGTTCTCATCCTCTGGGCAGCCACACAGCAGGGAAGTGGGGATGAGGTTACAGGTGAGTGATGCAAAAACTGGTCAGAGGACCACGGCTGTTATATGGACAGCTTAGTTTGGAGGTGGGATGGCTCTTTGTTTTAAATAAACCAACCAAGGTGGCCACTCTCTGGAGAGCTGGCAATGTCTCAGCGACCATTTAAGAATCCCTGATTGATAATTAAACAAAGAAAATCTAACCCAGCGAAAATACAACCTTTGCCCCCTACTCTTCATCCCCAGGCAAAATCCTTCCCTTTGTGCCAGAAATGAATGAGTAGAATTCCTGCTTTGTCTTCAAGAACATGCAAATTTTTATGAAAATTGTCTTTAAAATAAACTTTCAGAGAAAATGAGGTAGCAATGTACCTGGCAAACTCCTAGAGATGCATAAAATGAAGCATATTATAAAATTAAATAGAAGACATGCTTAACTTTCATCTGTGGTATGGGATGTGATTTGGAAAAACCTAACCCAATTGTTAGGTTGTAGCTGCTAAATGAACTCCTAATTTGCTCTTCATTTCTGGTTTGATTTATTTAGATGAGAAAAGATCGTGATTTTTGGCTGCTTTTTGTTGCATATTTTTGCTTAAGTGGTTTAGTGAGTCTCAGTTAAATATAAACCATATTTCTTAGAACCCTGCAGACTTTTCTGTTATTCTGTCCAAGTCACAGCTGAAAAAAAGGCTTTCACAGGTTAGGGGCCAGCAGAACCCCCATTCTAATACAATTAAAATAAATTGTGTTGACTTTAAAAAGAATTTGGACTACACAGAAAAATCAAGCTCTTAATCCATTTTTCTTCATGTTTTGGAGCCTTTGCCTTTTAAAGCTGAGCTTGAATCTGCCCTCTGGGAACCTTTTCCAACAGATGACTTTTGAGGTTACATCAAGATAAGAAAAGGGCTTGTCTTTGGCTCTTGCTGTTCTCCAGCAAGACAAAATTTTGCAGATCCCAGCTCACAGTGGCTTTTCTGGCACTTGAGCAGTGAAGTTTCTAGAACTGCAGCTGTATCTGTGTCATAAATGCTATCAAGCGTTCTTTATTGCTGTTTTTTGACCCTGGTTTCAGTTCTGATCTGGGTTTGACCTTGAGTTATAAGCAACCTACTCCTATGCAGCCTTTTCTCTCAGGCTTTATTTGCTTCTATTAATAAAATATTTGCTTTAATTGTTTCTGCTCTTGCTTAACGCAAAAAAATTAATGCTCTTCCTGACAGTGCTGAAAGCTGGTGGTTTCTGAGACACAAAACTGAAGGCCAGAGATGATAAGTGTAACACAGCCCTACTGACATCAGGTGTCTGCCTTCTCCTGCTTTGGGATTGACTTCAGCTCTGAGTCTCTGGAAACAGCAGCCAGTGCATTTTAATTCCATTTGATTGTGCCATAATCCCATAGATGGGAGCAATGAGAGCAGAAAGCCAATTTGCTAAAGAGCCCAAATTGATCCAAGCCACATTGCTCAGCAGCAAACTGCTGTCAGCAAATAATTGAACTCTCTGAGTGTCAAAGCTTGTTTTAAACTGTATGGAAGTGATGGATGATGCCAAAGTTGGTCGTGCTGCAACTTTCCCTGCCACCTTCAGCCCAAACTCTTCCAACAGGGCATCTTTTTGTACCACTAGAGCTGTATCTCAAATCTTCTCTTTTGGCTTTGGCAGCCTCATTCTATATCTAGCGTATATATATACACACACACACATATATATATACTTAGTATCAATGTTTAAGTTTGAAATATGATTTCATATCTGCTCTGACAGCTGTGGCTTCTAATTATAAACTGTGTCTAATTCTACACCATTTTATTCTCAGTTTCATACCTGTGTTTATGTTGCACATTGCTGTAGAGACTAAGCCAGCTCAGCTGACACTGGAATTTTTAGCTTTCCAGTGCTCAGCTCTGCATGGACAACAGGAATCCTCTGTGCTCTCCTTCCTCAGTTGTTCCCTTCCAGTCCCTGCTTTGCTCCTACCATGCTATACATGTGCTCTGTGGAAATGGAGGGATGAGGAACAAGGCTGAAGTCTTCTTCCTACTCTCCTCTAACATAATAACAGTCTGATTCTCTAATACATGAAGTGTTTGGGGTTTTTTTCTCATTTTCATAGAATAAAATTTGTCCCACTCCTTCTGCTTTCCCTGGTCACCAATAGATGCTTATGCCCTTTTTCTAGAGAAAGGTTATACCCACAGTGATTTAAGTGTTCTCTCCATTCCACTCTGGTTATTTAGCCATTCGGGTCCCAAACTAATGAAGAAAAAAAAAAGGCAAAAAAGCTGAAACAAGATTTATTTTCCACCCCCCCTATACCTACAAGCCTAGAAGCATTTGCAGGGATAGGTATTCTTGGAGCACTCTTAACACATGGCAAGGGAATGTTTTCTAAAACGCAGTCACAGCTCCCTGTTTCTTATCAGACACTTTTGCCTCATGTGAAGTGTTGATCCATCAAATGCACTGGATAAAAAGCAGCATAAAAATCAGATCTCTGATTTCTGCCCCAGAACCCACATTTGTTTTCTTTTCTCTTTTCTCCCAGATGGATATCCCAAAATTATCTGGGGAGGGAGGCCACTTTGCTTTCCCTGGCTCGCTTCACCCTCCATTCCCCCCTGCGCAGCCACAGCTGGGAATGGGCTTTCCCAGTCCTGGTCAGACCTCCATCCCAGCCTCTGGGGTCCTCTCCTGGCTCAGGCTGGGTGTGGGTTTCAGCCTCACACCTGGGGACAGTCTGGGTGTCTTCCTACCCCTCATGACTTTTTCCTTTCAAGCTCTTCTTAAGGACAAGCTCTGGTGCTTTTTAGGGATGTGAAGACCTTCCAGCCTCTGCCTCTGGATCTTGCTTCAGGGACTGGACCCAGAGGTGCCCTGCTTGAGGCTGGGGAGGAGGAAGAAGCAGGGAGTGGGATTTCCAGCTATGCCCTTACTGTCAATATTTTCCTGCTGACCTGCTCTAAGCAGCAGCACAGATTGCCTGGAGCCTGCCAGGAATTCTCTTGCTCCCACACGTGCTCCCTGTAGCACAACCCGGCGTCAAACTCTGCCTTTTGCTGCAGAAGGAAGGCACAGAGGGGTTGGGCAGAGCAGGGCTGGGCTCCCAGGGGCCGAATTTAGGTACCATACCTATTCCATGTTTTATTCTGGACTGTCCCTGTGGTCATCCTGTCCAAAACTTTTTTATCAGTCCTGCTCAAATTGTGCATCTATCTTTTGTTTAGCCGGAAAGCTAAACGTGATAAAAGCACAGATTCCCAAGAGCCTGACAATTCCTGAATTGTTTTCATATGTTTCATCTTTTCAGGCAGCAGTGTACAAATAAGAGAAGCTGTAAATATTTTAATTGTGTGTCTTTTGTGTATACTGTGTTAGCTTCAGCCTGTCTGTTGGCCGACCCTGGTGCCCTCAGAGCTCTCAGAAAAGAAAATAACCCTGCTATATTTGAATCTCTGCAGCTAATTCATGTTTATCCTTATTAAAGTTTCTTTTGCTTTGTCTGAAGGATGATGCAGGCATTTTAATTCTATCCGATCGGTTTCCCAAATGGGACACAGAGTGACTCAGCCCCTCTGGCTTCTATAATATCTCATTAGGAGCCAGCCTGATGTCTGTGACATGACTGTAGGTTGCTTACTGCTAATTCTTAAACTCCATCTGGATCTGTTGCTGTTGTTGATGTTTCTCTGCGTTGTTTGATGTTGCTTTTTTTTTTTTAATCCCCGTTCCTGTTCATGTATTTCAGTTTTAAGTAAAACATGTAACAAGTTCACCCCTCATCACGAATGGTTTCAGAACTCTGGAAAATGAGTCCCGTTCCCAGACCTGCGCGAAATGATGTAGTTAATGACCTTATCACTGGCTTTGTTCATACTGAAGTCAATGAACCATTGCAGGTCTAAAGGCCTGATCTAACAAGGTCTGCAACAAATGCAGAGAGGCAGCACAGGAGCTCCATGAATACCTTCTGTGACAGATACCTGAAAGTCCCTCCCAATGATGTACGAGTACCCAGTTTTAGCCTGGAGTGATGTCTGAAGGATGTCTTATTCCAGACATCTACTGTGACTCATCTGCCCATGAGTTCCCCTCATTCCCTTTATAGCCAGAGGAGAGCAATGAACACTTTGGCATCATTAGGCTGGAGTGGACATGTGAAGTACTTGGATGACTCTGGTCTGGAAGTGCCTATTTTGTTCTACTATTTTCCATTAACATATGCTAATTTCCTTTCCATTGTCTTGAGTTAAATTGCCCTTTTTCTGCTTTGTTCCTGAAGGCACCAAGAACTCTTTGACTTTTCTGGCAATCTGCATCCTTTGATGACCAAAGTGATGCCTATGACAAGCAGTCACTACTAATTCTTTCTCCTGTCTCTTTTTTGAGATGATGTTCTTCCTAACATCAGCTTTCCTGGAAATCATTCATCTGTATTGGTTCTGTCACTGCTTTCTCATAACACTGTTTTCAACTAGATACTCGCAGGGAACGGGTGCTCCAGAGTGACAAGTTAATGCTGATCCCTTTCTTCCCTCTTTTTATTTTTCTTCCCTAGAAAAAGGCCTCTCTTTGCTAGGGTACCATCTGTGCAACTATACCCTGACCAAAAATGTGTTTAAAATGGTTGCCTACCAAAAGTCCTATGAGAGAAACACGTCCTGTGGAGGATGGATACCGTGGATGGTGTGTCCCCGGACGTACTATAAAACAAAATATCATAGCATTGAAGTCCCTGAAACCATCACACTCACAGATTGCTGTGAAGGATATGAACAAGTTGGTCTCTACTGCTCTCTAGGTAAGTTTTGGTCAGATTAAGAGTTGAAATAATTGCTGCTTGTGGAAGAGCATTTGTCCTGTTCTGGGACATAGGTTCCTGTTCACTGGAACCAGTGAGTCTGCAAAAACATAGAGTAAACTTTGTCCAACAAGGTAAGGAGTAGATATGAAAGACTAAAGTTCCTGATTCTTGCTTTTTGCCACAAATTCACTAAAGTTCCAGGGGATCCTGAAGAAGGGACCCCCTTGCTACCCCCCCCAGGGGCTCCTTACCTGTCCTGGTTCAGGCCAATATCCCTGACCAAGTGCAATAACTCCCCTGTGCCTGGTGCAGTGTCTGTTCTGAGCCTGTTTCCATTTAAATGGGGAGCTTTCTTGTCAGAAGTAATCCAGGATGCACTTAGGATAACATCTCCTTTGATTTGAAGCAGGATCTGTTCCCAGACAGAATGCAAACCCAATTTTGGTTTAAATTTAAAACAACCTGTGACCTCAGGGCAAGTCAGTACCAAATGCTTTCCAATCAAAACTACACTAGGGCCCATTTTCTCCTTGGTTACCTGCGACTCTGGGGGAGGTCTGAAAACTGGTGAACCTTTTGGTGGATCTGATCTAACTTCTGAGAGTTAACAAGGCCCTACTCAGGAAGACAACCATCTTTGTCTCAAGATGGAAGCTTGTTCCCCTTCCCACATCAGGGCTACCAGCTGTCAACAAGAAATTCCCAGTTTTATTAGAACTTGGGATGTAGATGGAAGAGATTCCTTGGGGAACAGGAACTTCTTTTTTTTTTAATGGATAAAGTTACATGCTTTTGAGCTGAATGGGCATCTTGGATTAGCTGGGCCAGCATTGAACTGTTCTGTCATGCAGAAAAGTTCTGCAGGACATAATTTAGTCTCCTATTTTCAGCGTGACATCGCATTTTCTCCATGTTCCCTTTTCAGTATGGACCTGGGCACTTACACAGTCACACACTGCAACAGCAGATTGCAAAGGAAAGGTCCTATTGCAGCTCTGGCCCTTGTTTTGGGTCATGAGACTTGGGTGACTCAGATCTGTGGGAATGTCCCCAAACCTGCTCCTGCACCAGATCATATAACGTGGCATGAGAGGGTATGAGCCATACATCCTGTCATGGGACCTGTCAAGAGCAATGTGTTCATCCTACTTTTAAGCTGCTTCAGGGCTTTGGAAAAAGAACCTCCCAGCAATTTTTTTCCAGGTGTTTTCTCAACAGTAGTAGAATATCATGTCTAGCAGGAAAGTGCTTTTAAAAGAAAGATGGGAACACAGTTGTTGTGTTTTACTTGTTCCTAAAATTATTTGCTATAGAAGAGAAATTAAAGCATAAATAAAGAGACATGATTCTTAATTTACTGCATCCTCCTGCTGGTTGGCTCTGTGGCTGTTGTGGAGTGTCAACCAGGGCAAAATTTGGCCTGCAGGTTACTGTGTGTCCAGGCAGCCTTGTCAGACTGGCAAAGGACCCATTGTTGGTCATCTGCCTTTTCCAAATATCAGTTCCACACTGGAGAAAATCTCCAGTACGTCTAATTATTGTTGAAAAATTATTTCAGTAAGGTCTTTTTGTTATAAACACATGTGCATTCATGTGTGCATGCATGAGTCAAATGACAAGACTGAGAGGCAATCACAGAAAATGGCCTCAATTCTGTAGTGCAAGGAAAGAGCTGTGCCAGCTAAATGTGGAAGAGTCACTTGCTAGTTGTGGCTATCACAGTTTGCACAAGAAACTCAGGTGTTTTGAAACTCTGAAAATCAAGACCATCTTCTTGTCTGGGGAAAAAAAAAAGCATCCTGGAAACACTTAAAATATTTTTTTCCTAGCATAATTCTATGTCTTTTAGAGGCATATCTAAGGATATTTTGGACTTGAGAGCTGTTGATGGGTTTGTTTCATCTAAAAGGAGCAAATCTGTACATCTCCTGTAAACCTTGCAGAATTTCCACTCTACCCTTACCACGTTGCTGATGGGCACTCTGGGCAGGTTTGTTCATGAAATACTGTGCTCACCTTGACTCTTTTTCCTGTCAAAGTTAATCTGTGAATATTTTAAACCGTAGAAGGATTTGAATGGCTTCTAGGTGATTTCCGTGTTTACATTATTCCGGTATCTTTGCTTTTCAGGGCATTAGTCATAATTTCTGTGAATGGTAATGCACTGTCTAGACACAGTCTTAAATAAATGATGAGAAGAGAAACTGGAACTGCTGAAATTACTGCACAGCATGCTGTTGAACTACCGTTATTCTTTCCTTGACGTTATCCATGCTGTCATGCTCTTCATCCTGCTAGGAGTGGAAAGGTCTCCATGACCTTTCCCAGCAACCTGCTCCTGGCCACTCCTCACCTTTTCTTCCTAGAAGAAAACATTTAACCCTGCCTAAGATATGGCAGGCCCTGCTTTTCTTACTTCTTTAATGATGGGAAAAAATACCTACATTGTCAAATGACTTTGTAGTTCTCACTAGTTGCCCATCTATCCATTGGGACAGCATTAGAGATGCGCACATAAATGACTTCAACATTTTTAAATAACAACTGAAAAGTGAATTATCTAAAAGTTAGGAAGTGCTAGAATTAATTCCAAAGGTGGAATTAAATGAAACAACCTTTGTTTTCTCTCTTTGGGCCTATGAAGATTAATAAACTCTTTTAATTACCTAATCCAGCTCTGCTGTGCCCCGAGGACCACATTTCCATGTGGTGCCCAGGGGTGATGGAGCCCCTCTAAGGAGCTCCCCAACAACATTCTGTCTTGACCTCCACATTCAGTGCATGGTGCAGCACTCTGCCGAGCCTCTCACTGAATAGAGAATTATTTATCACCTCTTAAGGTGAATCCTGGGGGATTTACACGCAGCAATTTGTCTTCACACAGACTGCAGGAAGCGAGGGAGGTTCTCCATCTTTCACAGATGGACAACTGAGCTGCAGAGATACTGAGATCAATCCATTGTGTGCCCACTCTCAGACACCTTGGGGGCAGTTTTAATTTTTTTTTTTTTAATTTATTTTGCTTTTCAGAGCGCTTAGAGCTGCCTTTAACAACTTGTGTGGTTGGGCCACAGAGATTCACATCCTCAGTGGTGACTTTGAGCAGTCCCCCAACTGCTTGGCAGGCCCAGGGCTGCAGGTCAGGCTCATGGACCTGCAAAACCCACGGCTCTGAAAGGTTGTTTCACCTTACAAAGCTTTCCCAGAATCTTGCAGGATTGTTTTTTAGGTAGAGACAGGGTCTAATTCTCCAGGCTAATTTCCAGCTGCTTGAATGGATGGTATAGTTACTTCTCCCGGTGACTGGCTCCCTGCCCACTTTCCAGCACAAGATGAAAACAGAGAGCTCCTTATCTGTTATCTAACCCTGCTTGATCCCCAGCTAGGGAGGGAAAGAGTGCATCAACATGCAATGAACCCTGTTTTTTAAACACACAAGTCTCTAAAACACTGTTTTAGTTCAAGTTCCCTAAGCACACGGTCGATCTCTTACCTCCATGAAAAACACCCTGAAATAAGAAGGCTCAGACAACTTTCATCCTGGAGTTTCTTAACTTGAGAGTGTTTGATTTGCAATGTTAAGGTCACACTTTTAATCAGAGTGCGCTTTGTGTGCATAACTTCCTAAGGTTTTCAGAAAAAACACTGTAAAGTAAAAAAATTTCATTTTTGGAGCCCAGGAAGCTCCTCAGTGGGACTGGGACATTTCAGGGCCAGTGTGTAGATGTTCCCATGCTGACTCCAGCTGGAGCAGTGAGGAGCTGTGGCACAGCTGTCCCCTGTGCTTGGGCTGTCACCAGAAAGCCATGGGATGGTGGTGTCATGTGTGGGCAGTGTTACAGCATCAGCCTGGGGTGGGAAGGTGCCAAAATGCCCTATGGAACTTCACCCAGAAGCAGGTGTCTCTCCCTGCCCTGCAGGTTGGGTCCCTTGTGTGCCCTCAGCAGCTGCAGAAATGGGATTATAGGTGTTGGAGGGTCTGTCCCTGCCTGTTCCCTGTGGTGTCTGCTTATGGGAATCCTGTCTGGGAACTGTCTAGTCCCTTTTTGAGCCCACTGAAGCTGTCTGCCTCTACAATCCATTTGGGTAAAGAAATGTGTGCTTTTACTCATTTTATTACTGTGGGCTCTGGTGAAAACCAGCTCTGCTTTCACCTTGCCCCCTGCCTTTGGGATTTTGTAAACCTTGGTCACATCCCCCTCAGCCTCCTCTTCTCCAAGACAAAAGTCCTTGTCTTTTCAGTAATCTTTTCTTGCAAGTCTTTCTCTGAAGGTCATGGTCCCCCATTGTCCAACAGCTGCATCCTTGCTAAATTTCAGCCCATGGCTTCTGAATACATTCTAGTGAATGACAGAGCTTTCCACAGGGAAGGGTGTTAAATATGTGTCAGATACTGGACCAACACACAACCCAATTAACCCTTGGAGAAGGAATCAGGATGGAAAACATTCACGTGAGCAGGTAAAGTCTACTGATGCTCAAAGTCCCACAAAACGTATGATGAAAATTGCCAGTCTGCCTTTGGAACAGACTTTGCCAGGAGCTCTTTCTATAATTTCATGGATTTGTCTCCACCTTCTGATACCTGAGATGAACAAAGGATGCTGGTCCCTGGCTCTGCCACACCCTCTGGATGAACCCTCTCCCCTCCAGGTGGAAGGAGGGAGAGGGAGGGTATCATGGCTGAGATAATGGTTTCCTTCAGCATCAATCTCCAGGGAGATCCCTCCCTCCTGCAGCCACAGCAGATCCAGTGGCTCTCCAGTGGGCAGGCTGGTGACTGACCTTTGGTTGCTAAGCACTGGGTGCTGCAGCTCTGTTTCCATACATTTATGTAAATAACAGAGGAGAAAAGCCTGTACTTCATCCAACTGACAGAGGAGTTGGCTGGCTTGCTCCCCAGTGCTGGCAGTGTTGCTTGGTAGGTGACTGTCCCCAACGTTATTGAAGTGGAGAGCATAAATTGAATTTTCAAAGTGCATCTGGTACAATTAGGCAGAAATGTGAAGTGAATCCATCCCTGTTTCCGCTGATCCGAAAACGATGACCTTTTGATTTCAGATAAATGGCCAGGGAGGCACTGGGCCAGGATTCAATAGTGTTTTCTGAGATTGCATGTGACTCATTAAGCCATTTACACTGCAGTTAAACAAGCAAAAAAAAAAAAAAAGAAACCCAGGTGGAAAAAATGCTGCTTTGAACCTCAAACCCGCTTGAACTGCACCTGAATCTCAGAGCTGGAGGAATTCACATGCTTGGGTCCAGCTTACCAAGATCCACCTGGTTTTGAATAGTAAGCAGCACTGGTGAACAGGGAATATACTAATACAGGGAAATCCCTTGGTGCTCTGGTGTGAGAGGCTGCTTAGCTCCCTGCACAGAAGGCTGGGATGGAGCAATCACATGAGACTGGGAATGTCTGGGAGACTCATCTAAGGGCATCCGAAGCCATATCACAACTTATTGTGGTTTTAGACTGAAAATCAGGAAGAATATTTCCAGGAGTAAGGCCTTTTTGGGGGGGCAGCCCGTAGTGCCAGTCCCAGAGCCAGAAGCAGAGGTTCCTGGTCTATACTGGGAAGCAGAATAGGATTTCAGGGGCTTGCTGGACCCTGAAGTAACTTGAGTAAGACTGCACAGGGTCGATTTTTTTTTTCTCATCCTATGGGGCCTATGACTCAGAGTCAACTTTGGGGGCAGAGTTGGTCCTGTGAGAGACTAAAGAGAGTGAGTTACTTTGGTTTATAGGCATGAAAGGGCCCATAACAGGCTGCATTAGGTAGCAGGACAAATCCTGCTCCCTGTAGGGCAGCCAGACATTCATTGGATTTGGGAATAGGGACAGAGCTTCCTAATTTGCTGCCCAGAGCTCTTGTGGGTCTCACACCAACTGTCTGTGAAAGATGCTCAAAGACTTGTTAAAGCTTTTGCTCGTTGGGTGTGTGCACACAAAATACACACACACACAGTGGATGGAATACAATACAAAACAGTGTGGGAAACGCCATCCCATGTGCTCTGCATGCAGGTCTTTAAAAATACGTGTGCAAATGACCTGCATCCTACTGAGATAACTCAGTGTCTTCCCTGTTCCCCAGCATTTGGATTTTGGAGGGTTTTTCAGTGGAGATAACTCCCATCATTAAATTATGCCTACTTTTCACAGTTACCTTTCAGAGGCCCTTGACAGAGATACTGTGGGCCCTCAGAAGGACACAGACCACTGCTCTCAATAGCCTAATTCTTTGTGCAAATATCTCTGTATGTCCAGTTGCGTAAATGGCTGAAAATTGCACATGTTGAGTTTTGCAGGCCATAGTTTGAGCTCAAACCCTCAACTGTAGATTGAGCTGGGGATTTGGAGTGCTAAAAATGAGAACTGTTATGGAGTGTGCTAAAAAGCTGAGGCTTTCTGCTTGCAGTAGCCTCCAGTCTCCCATAGACTGGCAGAGGGGGGAACCCGGAATGTGCATGTGGCAGCAAGTTACAGAGATCAAGTTTAAATCTTGATTAATTGAGATAATTTCCCTGTTTAAGAAGGTTACTTCAGTGAGGCCGAAAGTCAGTATCCACTTCTGCTTCTCAGAAACCTCTCATTTACTATTATCCAGAGTCTTGGGATAACAGAAACTGTAAACTCACAGAACTGATGATTCACGATAGATTTGTAGTTTGTTGTGGACTTTTCACTTTCTGTGGGCTTTATTATGTCAAATGTGGTTTTTCTGCACCACAACTATTTCCATTGCAAGAATCAGGTTAATTTTCCTCCTGGCTGACTTTAATTGCCCAGTAATAGATCGAAAATCTGCGGATGCAGAATGAATGGAAAAGAGAAATCTTTCAGGTTGATTAGAAAGACCAGAGCTGAGCATTACTTGGAGCTGTGTTTGAGACCGTGGGTGAAAGTACTGACTGTAAGGCTTAGAAATGTTTTCTCTTTTCCTCCGGAGAGAAATATGTCCTGGAATTGAGTCAGGACCACTGACTGCCCTTGGCTTGAAAGCAGCAACCTTCTGCCCTAGCTGCTCTCTCTGCAGGGCTCTCTGGCATGGGCTACCAACCTCCTGGAGTGGCCAGCTGGTACAGAGCAGGTGCTGCCAGGCTGCAGCCATGGGCTCAGTTCTGCTCTCCTGTCCTCCTGTGTAACCCACTCACCTGCACCTGAGAACTACGTCGTGTCTCCACTCTCATGGAACACCCACAGTTACCGTAACTAAAGGTCAGCCTTGTGCCACGGAAGTTTGAATCATTATTAATGGAAATGTACAAATTCAAAATTTCTGTAGCAGAAATGTCACGAGAGAGAGAAAGATCTGAGAGCATTTACACCCTTGGAATTAAATAATGGTATTTTTAGGCTGTTGTTTTCTCCCCGTGAAAACCTCAGAACAGACGCGCTTCTAAAATGAGGAGGAGGTGTTTGCTATAAATTAAATAGCACAATTTTGGGGAAACAATTTTCTATATTTTTGTTCTCAGAAATGTTTCTGTTACTTAGCACTCAACAGATCCAGTGTATTTGCCTCAAGACCTGGTATTTGTCCAATGGAGGATATGGAAACCTCTGATTATCCTTGCACGTTCGATACTGAGTGTCCAGGGCTCAAAAAATGCTGCAACTCATCCAAAGGAGCAGGCTGTGTGGACCCAGTGCCAGAGGGTATGTTACTGATAAATTCAGGAACTGCTTCTAACAGAAATATGCTTAAGTTTCCTTTCTGAGGGTGGGATTGGGCAGGAAAACTGTTACCATAGCTCTTCATAAAACAAACATGGGAATATGCCTTGGATCAGTTCCAGGATATTCAGATTCATCCCTGCTTGCACCCCGGAGCACTGAGCAGTGTGTGGGTGCTGCAGGTCCCGTGGACCTTCCTTGGCTTCTTCTCCTTTGCTGGCACCTGCAAAGGAGGTGGCATATGGCAAAGGAGGCAGTAGGTGATGGGCTGTACCTGGGCCCTTCGTGTTTGCCAAGTTAAATCCTGCTTTGTTCTCTTGGAGCTTTCCTATAGCTCTGTTGCTTTCTATAGCATCAGACCTCAGATGACTTGGCTGTTCTATTCCGTACACTTCAGGAAGAACATTCTGGTACAACGTGACAGTGCTTGTGAAAATGGATTTTAATGAATTAATCAGAGTGGATTCCCACCTTCTGAATCATTCCCGCCTCTTGCACTCCGTGGTATGTACAAACACGAACGATCCTGTGTGCTGCTCCTTGTGTCCTCGTTTCTGTTACTCAGGGGCCACCCCTTGCTTCCCCTCTTTTCTGCCAGATTGATTTTTTTTTTTGCCCTAATGTATTTCTGATTACTGAATGTCAGCTGCATCCTTAAGCAATTCGAGTAATGTTGATTTATCAGCTCCTTTAGTAAATTTTTCACGTCTCTTCCAAGGGCAATTTAAAGACATTCTGAAATACAGGGGTTTTCCTGCTTAAATGGTGATTGCTCTAGCACTGATTGAGTTTTGGACCTATGACTGACTGGGACCAGATTTCAAGACCTTCAAAGTGCAATAAGGAGTTTTGAGTTAAACCTTTCAAGAGACAAACCTGATCCCCAGCACTGGGACCTCCAAGGCACGTGGACTCAGCAGTGCCAGAAGTTTCGCTGTGAAAAAACAGGATTAGGGCAGGGGACTGTGTTGGGACAAGGGTGTCTCCTTGTCAATCTTGCCACCAGAATCAGGGCTGTTATTTTTGCTGTAGGACTGAGGCTCTGCCTTGGGAATGGATCAAAGCAGGCTTGGATATGGTCTTTGAAAGGCACCCAAGAGGGCAGGTCCCTAATGCCCTACATTTTTATTTCTAATCTTCCCCAGTTTCCAGCTGGGAGTGGGCAAGTAGCAAAGGAAACCCATCTGCCATAATCTGCCATCACTGATGGGCAGGAGAATAGAAATTATAGCAGCAGCATGGGTGTAGCTCTTCCTCCACCTGAATTACCCCTTCTCATATCCTTGAAAAAGCAAGAAATCTCGGCCCTGTCACTACGTAGTAAGGAATAGAGGGCAGGGATCTAAAAAGACTTTTATATCTTGGTCTAAAACAAGCTATGTCAAAGTCAAACACTCGAGAAATAGGGACTATAAACAAGCTGCTACTCAGAGGAATTTCTTCCAGGCCCACCACCACATCCCTTCTCTCATTCCTGACACTCAGTTGGGGTGGCTTGGTCTCTCTGGGGTCTCTCTGTCGCCCTTAATCCCACCTTTCATCCTCAGTCTATTGCTTTTCTTCTTTTTCTTTCCTATTCCTTTGCCAGCAGCCCTTTAAGCTGTTGAAAGTAAGTGTTGGACAGCTTTTTTACAGATGAATTGTAACAGCATGTGTAATGTATGTCTACTGGGACTTTGCAAAGCAGGACTTTTCCCATATATTCCTGGATTACGTCCTTCTGCCTAAATGTTTTGAGATCAGCTCCACACCTCCCTTAGCTTGGCATTACTATAATATAAATTAGCTGTAAAATGTGATAATAAGAATGCATAAAGACAGGCCTAAATGTTACCACTTTGCCATGTTTTCTGATTTGGTGCTTTCTCCACTCGGATTATGGTAATAATCGTGGCATAATTTACGCCTCAGCTGTGCTGAGAAATGAACGCGGTGCTCGAGTGTTTGTTCCCCTGTTTTCCAGATCACTGGCGCGTTGCAGCCCTGGAATGCCTCTGTGCACCACATCCAGAGCAATCCTGCAGGGATATACGCCGGGACAGTGGCCTCCCAGATCCTCCTTGGGCTGCACCAGCCGGCTCTGCTGGCTGAGGTCTCTTCTTCCCTGGGTGACGTGGTGAAACGCGTGTATGAAGTGATTGACACGCAAGTGCAAGGTCATTGATTACAATCCTGTCACGGGGGGGGGGGGAAGCTTTTCTTAGGAGGTTTCATCTCTCTTCACTTGCATTTTCATTTATACGACCGTTAATTTGCTTTCAAAGATTTTGTAGCAGATCTTGGTAAAATTTGCAAATATGGCCCTGACATTTCTGTTAAAGGATGGAGTGGGTTGTAGTTAATAATGACAATAATTTTAGATTGAATAATTTGGAAGGGAATGCTCCTGAATGCTCAATTAAATTTATTTTCTCCCAATAGCATAGCCCATTTTCAAAAGAAAAAGCAAAGGTGTCCACATTTGTTATATTGTCCATATTAGTTGTATTCAACAGGCCCTTAATAAAAGTATTTTCTTGGGAAGTAGATACACTCTATTGCTACAGACATGTTGCTATGAGTAGCTTGCATGAAACAAGTCCCATTGATAGTCTGTTAATTCTTATAACATATTACTACCTACTTTTTAACTATTAGGTAAACATTTCAGTATTTTAGTTTTAAGTTTTGTGAATCTACTTATTACTGTGTAGCTGTCTGAACATTTGTACTCCCGAAGTGCATCCATAAGCCCCACTTTCAATGCTTCTTATTCTGTGTTTACTCAGTCCAACTTTCAGTGGAATCACTTTCAGTAGGTCTCCCTCCTCTTCTGCTGACATCTCTTAGGTTTGGATGACAACCTGCAGCTGTAAGCAGGAGCTGCCTCCTACCTGTCCTCTAATTCCAAAGAAATGGAGTAAAACGTGAGAGGGTTGTAACTGCTTTGGGGAAGGGCAGGATTCCAATTTCTTTGCACCCATGTACATCCAGAATGATTTTAAGAGTTACTGCAGATTTGCACTGAATTTATCATATCCAGAGCCTGGTTTATGCACACTACAGATCAGTCTCGATGCTGATATCAGTGACTGTGCAAGGTGTGTTCCTCTCCCTAGATGTCAATGAATGTTCCTACGCTGAACTCAACGCCTGCCTCCAGAAAAGCACCTGTGTAAACCTGGAGGGTTATTACAGCTGTGACCCTCATGCCCATGTCATCCCTCACCAGCTGAGCCGAAGGAAGGAAGGTAAGAAACGTAGATCTCACCTCGGGGAAACACTGAGGAAGTTCCTGCAGGAATTTGCTGTCTGTCACAGGAGTTACCTGCAGGGCAAGGATTTCTGGAGGACTCAGTGCCCCTTCTCCTCCTGCTGGGAGGAGATGCCACATAAGCCAGCTGTTACCTGCTTCTGATTGAAATGCAGCGTATTTATTTCACAGTCCCTTGCTGTTTCTCCTATCTCACCCTCAGCTGTCCTCACTCACCTGCCAAAACCTCTAACTTCAGACCCTGACTGCTTCTCAGAATGTCATTCACCATCAGTGCACCTCCCCAGCCTCCTGGGAAGCAATTAATTATGTTATTTATAAAAATTTTTAGGTTTTTTCCCCATTTTGACTGTGTGAATGCAGCCCAGACTCAGTGGTTGTGTGATCCCACCCTGAGCTGCTCCACTGCCCCTGAGTCCTTTGCTGCAGAGAGCTGGAGTTTGGCACTGGGTGAAATAATACCTTGTGGTACCAGCCCAGCAAAATATAGAGGCATGTACTTAAAGCCCACAGACATCAATGGGCCTGATAATAGGCTTTAAGTTAATGAGATGAGTAACTGCTTACAGATTTGATACTTTAGCTAGAGAACAATTTTACAATCCTTTAATCTCAAAAATTAAGATAATGTATTATTTTATGCTTTTGTGAGACGATAATGTACTTATTTTCTATTTATATTACTTCTATTGCTGCTTTCCAGCTGTGGAAAACATGAATGGCATTATTTGGGATTTGCTTTGTTAGGAATAATCCAACTCTTTGATAATACTATTTCCCCTTAGGCTTTGCAGCATCTACTCCAAGTTCAGCAGTAGATGCCATTAGTACCAGCAATAGCTCTCCTTCTGTAATGAATTCAAGTCTTTTGTCCATAACTAATCAATCTGCAGATGCTGGATGCTGTAAGTAATCTCGGATTTTAATGAATATTGTCTTGATTTTAATTCAGTCACTCCTGGATCCTTTTCAGATAGGAGTTATCACAGTCCTTTTAAAAACACCCTGTCCTTCTTGTGAGAGGAAATAGCTTTCAGTAGTTCTTTGCCGAGTTCAGAGAGACAGGCTGGATACTCTTGATCTTCATCCACATCTTCTGATCCAAGCCTAAGCTAGAGGAATTAAACTGAGGCACCCCTAGTGCAGGGGGGGGATGGCTTTGGGGGTGTTTGGCAACCACCTGGCTCAGAGTCCTGGAAACAATTATGTCTTATTGAAGCAACTTACAAAAACAAACTTCTTTTTCTTAGTCTAACCATTAGCATGAAAGAATTGAAGCTGTGGTAGCAGAATGACATGGTCTCTGGGTTAGCATGGGGTGTGATGCTCATCTCACCTGACCCCAGCTTCTGCAGGAGAGGTGTCTAGTCTGGGATCTCTCTCCAGTTAGTGGAGGCAGATCGGCTCTGTTGGAGGGCAATTCATCCCACCGAGTTTAGACACCTCCTCCTTCAAGGAGAGGAATCATCTCTGAAGGGTCTTGTCTTTTCCCATTGGCATGACAATGATTGCACTGGACTAGAGAGGAATAACAGGTGCAGTGCTGCACACCACTCTGCCCCCAGCCTCTGAAAGATGGGGTCTGTGGGGGTTTTCTGGGCGTAAATCCAGACAACCTTTGCCTGAAGAGGTGCATTTTGATGATTAAAGTGACAAGAGGCAAAGCAGGTGTCAACACATGTAGAGTACACAGATTAACTCTTCCAAGCTATTTCTGTTGCTTGCACCTGTAGCTCACTGCCTGGTTATTAGTGTTCCTAGACATTCAGTGGAGATTAGTTTGCCAGCAGAAATTGTGGCTGCCCCATCCCTGGAAGTGTTCAAGGCCAGGTTGGACTGGGCTTGGAGCATCCTTGGATAGTGAAAGGTGTCCCTGTCCATGACAGGGGATTGGAACTGGATGACCTTTAAGGTCCCTTCCAACCCAAACCATTCTAGAGTTCTATGAGTCAACACAAATACATATAGCAGAGGGAAATGAAAAGAGTAACCACCAAATTAACCACTCCAGTGGGATGGTTCATGGGTGAGGGGACCTGGTAGTGTGAGTGGGGCAGATTCTGCCCTGACCTAAAGAGGACCTTTACCCTATTGATTGTCAAAGTGCTTGTCTATAGTGGACTTAGAATAGCACAGTGCTTTAGAGGTGAAATGTTGCTTTTTCTGTGCTAACTCTTCCTGGGACTTCAGTAGATCCTTCTGCAGTGACAAACCATCGAATCTTCAGTGTTACCAGCAACAGTTTTGAAATGTCCTGGCATGTCACTTCTCCTCTGAACCACACTTTCCAAGTCCAAGTGTTCAAGGGCCAGGAGACTGTCCAAGACCTGAAGACAGAGGAAATGAAAATGGATGTGTCTCAGCTGGAAGCAGGTGTGATGTATTCAGTCGAGGTCAGCTACGAAACCTGTGGAAAAACCATCATCTCCCGTCAAAGTGTTAAAACAGGTAAAGAGACACCTTCAAATATGCATATATTTCAAGATATATTAAAATAGATATACAACTTAAAATATATTCCCTCTCTCCTTCCTTCTCTCTCCTTGAAGCTGCTCTCCATTCACCTGCAGTTCAGCAATGATCCATTTGATCCTACCTGAACAACATTTCCCATCATCATCACATTTCATCACTTTTTTTCCCAACATTTATCCAAGCCAGACTATCAAGCACTGGTTGATAAAGCAGTGCTGGAACTGACTTAAACTATTACAGATATCAGGCTAAGCTAGAATTCTTCTGTTTTTTTATTTCTTTGGTGCCTGGCACTGCATTCTGCTGCCACCCATCTCCCATCAGGCCCCATTTTTCCTGGCTGATGCCTGTGGCCAGCGAGAAATCCAGTCAACTGGTTTGTCAAGGGCTAACAAAAGTGCCAGGAGGAAGGGCAGATTCAGCTGAATAAAGGATTAAAAGGAATAACAAGAGCTGAGTAAGAAAGCTTACAGACTACCTGCCCAGTTTGGTTCAAGTAACCAGCAATGGTGGCTTACTGAGGCCCTAGTGTGTTGATCAAACATAAGTTTACTTTTCCTTTGGCCTTAAATTATTTCCTAGGCCTTCATGCAAATAAAGAAATAATTCTCTCCCCCTTTTTTTTTTGAAGAGCAGGCAGTGAAGTATTTATTACTGACCACAGTGAGACTGCTGCTGTTCATGTTTATCCATAAGAGCCTTCCCTTTGATCAGATGAGGGATGACTCCAGTTTGGGTCAGAAGGAAATTACTCCCTTTGTAGAGGGAAAGTAGGAGGTCTAGTGGTTATGAAAACAGAGGGCTGAACTTCGGAGTATGAAGCTGGAACCCTTGAGAAAAAGAAAAGTTTTCCAAAGACCAGTCCAAAGAGTAACAGCCTCAGACTGTTTATACAGGTTACAGCAGTTATAGATTCCTTGGCTCTTGGTTTTGGCTCCTGTGCTCCTTATGTTATCTGTCAGGGCTCACCAGAGAAGTGCCATGCACTGCTTTTTGTTATATTTTCACTTTAGGAATATATATTTATTATCCACACTGCCAAGATGAGGAAAATAAATAAAAACATTTTGATCGGTGGGCCAAAGATGATCTTACTGTCAATTCAACCCTGGATGTAATTTCAAGTCAGGAGTTATGTAGGGTCAGGTCCAGATACGAGTATACCCACATATAAGGTATGTGTATACCCAGTTCTCATGCAGTAGCAATCAGGCACCTGAATGTCTCTATGGACCTGATGTAAGTGCATCTTCTCAATGTGTAGGGAGCTCATAGCAGCCTTTTGACTGTATTTTCTTTATTTAATACCAAACTCTCTCAATTTCATCCTCCCTTCTCCTTCCATCATCTGAGATTTTTGTCTGGGCACATCAGTTTTGACTGAATCCTTTCCTCTCCTGCTTTCTCAGTGTGTGTTTTAATGTTGTGTCCTACAGAGGCCCAGATATTTGATGTCACTCTGAGGATTCTCAACTACAACTTCACTGATGATTTCCATAATTCCAGCAGCTCAGCGTATGAAGAATTTTCAAGGCTGTTTCTTACAGAGGTAACATTAAAATATCTGTGGGCAATACATTTTTTTTTCAATTTAAAATTCATTTAGTCTACTAGAGGACTTTATGCCTGGCTGAAATATCCCTTGAAAATGATCATGCTGCTTCCTGTGACCTTTCTTTATAATTAAAACAAAATTCAACTGGCTAGACAGATCAAGCCCTTGGCCTTGTTAGCAATGGAGCCAATGAGAATTTTCCCCTACAGAAGAGTAAAGGAATTATAAATGCAGGCATGCAACAGGATCTTGGATCTTTAGTTTGGCAATAAACTCACACTAAATTGACTTGAGGCTTTTTAATGGATTATTGAAATGACATTCCTGGCATTCATTTCAGTGCTGTCGTCTCAATAAATGTCTGACTGGTCTCAAAGCTCTTTTTTCTTTTAGGAAAAGTGGCTGGATCAGGCTTTCTCCTCCAGCCATGTTCACTACCTGCATACTGCAGCCACTGTCCATGCTCAGGTGTAACCAGCCACAAACAAAACTTGAGTCATGAAGCCTATTACCAGCTCTCAGCTTCCCAAAAAGGAGGGGGAGTATCAGATGGAGCAATCTCCTACAGTTTTGTTGCAGAGAACAGGGCCCATGAAGAGGAATTGGGATCTCCATCCAAAACGAGACTTTCCCAAAACAAAGGGTGACTCATAAATATAAGTAAATTTAAATCTGAGGAAAAAAAAACCCCACCAATAATGGAGCTTTACTTTCAAAGGCAGCAGGGGAGAGGAGTTTGCTTATGAGAGACTGCAAGCTGAACCTCCTGACACGGTTTCATTTCCCACGGTTGCAAATTGTTCACTTTTGTTGTGTAGGAGGATTTTGGTGAGTGAATCTTCTCTGAGACTAATGCAGATCTAATTGGCATCATGGGGTTGTGAAGGAAAAGGAGCATTTCCCATCTGTGTTGTCTCTGCCTCCCTGGGTGTTTGGGAGCATAACGTCCCCCTCTCACTTCCTCTCTCCTCTTTTTCTTGCCTCCCCACCCTAATGTGAGCTTAGACCAGTCAAGCAGCTTGTTTGTAGGAATTTTTTGGAGCAAACTCTGACTGAATGGGAACGAAGCTGTGCTGATTTATGGCTCTGCAATGCGTGGTCAAAGGCATGCTTTGAGGTGTATGAAGGAACAAAGGCTCAAGCAAGGAGCTGCCTTCTAGAGGTGTAAGGAAGAACTTCCAATTCCTGCACAGCTCAAATATTGACAGCAGTGTGGCAGCCTTATTGTTCTGAGCAATGCCATTTGTTCAGCTGGTTGGTAATTAACCATGGTGTAATTGTGATATTGCCTTGAGGCTGGGCTGTCTCAAACACATTTTATTGAAGTTATCCACCCCCATTTTTCTTGTCTCTCACCCTGAGATTTCTTTATTATTGGACTCGGCTGCAGGATGAACTTGAGCTGGTGAGTTCCAAATACTCCCTAGGAACTACATCTATGCCCACACTGGTAAATGAAACATTTCCTGAGCCATTCTCTGGCACCAACCCTAACTGGCACAAACTAGCCTGCATCCATGCAATTGGGTCTCCCAAAACACAGTGGTCACATTGGGATTGCCTGTTGGGACTGGACCCAGGGCCATGGTAAAAGACAAACCCTCCCTGGGGGACTCCTAGCTGGTAGTAGTCAAAATCAAGCCAGATACTGGTCAAGCCACGGTGGAGATGATCCAATTCCAGAGTCTGGGAGTGCAGAGGTGAGTACACAGGAGATAAAACACTTACATGACATACAGAGCTAACATGAGCCGGGCCAGTTGTGCTCTGGCCCAGGCAAACAGGACCAGGAGGGAACCTTCTCCCTTGAGCCAAAATGAAGTTTGGTTTGTAAGACCAGTGGTCAGATGGATACCATTTTCAAAGGGTGCACCAAGGAGACTCACATTACTTTGGGCCTCAATAATCTCTGAAAAATAAAGATTTACTAAATGCTTTGACACTTGGTTTACAACATTTTCTATGTTGTGCATACGTAAATCTTTAAAATTGTAGCACCCTATTCAGTTTTAAAGGAGATTTTCCTGTGGCTTCCTAATTGTTGATGCTTCTCTCCCTTTGCTCAGCTTGAACATTCATTTCCACCCGACATTTCTGCTTTACACAAATCTGGGAAGCTGAAATTGCAGATTGAATCCCTGCAGGCTGGAAGTGTCATTGTGAGGCTCAGAATCACTGTGCAGGATCCTGAGTTTCCAGTCAATGCCTCCACATTTGCCCCAGTGCTTTCCTACCTGCACAACAGTTCCGTGATTTTGGTGGATCAGCAAAACACTGCCGTAGGAGGTAATTTTTATTATTATTATTTTTTCCAAAGGAGAAAACAGGGTTTTTGTTTTGATCACACACATTATCACCAGTATTTTTCACAAAATGTGCTTTATAGGAAGACAAAGTATGTGGTTTGTTGGGGGGAAAACCATGATGTGAGAGCTCCTCCATGAGCTTTCTCCATAAGCCTGGAAGGGTCAGGCAAAGGAGCATTGGCTGTCCCCAAGTACCTGCAGGCACTGCTTCCCTCCAGTGTTTTTAAGGAGTTGAGCCCTTAGTTTCCCCATTTATTTTCCTCCCTCTCCTCTCTGACCCCAGTTGGAAGTTTGCCATATCTTTCTCGTGCTGAGTTGCAGGTAGGATTACTGTGGCATATTTGCAGCCTTTGGATACACACGCCCTCTAGACAGTTTTGTGCTTCAAGACTGTGGGGCTGTATTTGGGCCAGGGTTTAAGAAAAGAAATCTGACATCTTCACTCTGGAAACCCGGCCAGAGAAATTCCCAAATGTCCTTCCTGTAAATAGGACCAAAGAAACACACATGGAATTTATATTAATCGAGGCCTTTGTTTGATCTCCAGTAATCACCATTTTTATCTTCAAAGGACTAAGTGCTGGCTTCAGGTTTCCCAGCTGGCAGAGACAGCCAGAGTTCAGAAAGTTGCCAAAGCCAACAGAATAGGTTATTCTTCTCTCCCAGTGTGTTGAGCCCTTAAAAGCTTATTTATCATGAGCAGGGAAAACTTCTTCTGGAGTCTTGAAGGTGCAGAGCATGTGGAGGTTAAGGAGAACAGGACAGGAAAAAAACAGAAGAGACAAATGGCACCCAAAGCCCACAGATATCACAGTGGCAGCAGATACTGAATTGCAAGATGCTGATGTGTGCCAAAATACTTTACAACTGTTATTGATCCTGGGACTGAGAGAGTGTGGAGGAGGAAGGCAATAGCTCTGGACTGTCACTTGGATTGCAGAAAACCAGGTGGCTTCCAGTAGCACCCCTCTTATCCAGGAGCATGGCCAACTCCTCCACTCCTCCTTAGGGGCAGAGAAAAGGGGTTTATTTCTTAGCTCTGCCCAAAGGAGCATTTGTTTGCCATGAGTTTCCTAAGCCAAATGTGGAAAATCAGGAGTGAAGCACATGAAGGAAAGATTTGTATAATGGGGTGTTTTTTGCTTCCTGACCCTTGAGAGCCTCAGGATGTGACCTTTGGCAGTAAACCCAGTAATCCCACACGGGGGTCCTCTGTGAAGCCTGGCCACCACAAGGCTTTGTGCTTGGTTTAGTGACAGTGAGTTCAACCGTGAAAAGCAGGGATGAGAAGTCAGAAGGGACAGCACAACTGAAGGGATTGGAAGAATTGCATCTCTCTTTGAAGATTCATAAATTATTAAGTTTATTGCCGTGATGAATAGAGACAATAAAATCTGTTGTGTGAGGCATGGTAAGAAAAGAGAAAGGGATGTGTGGTGAGTCAGGCCCAATATCACATCCTCAGTAGCAGCCAGGAGCCAATTCCTGGAAAAGTGTAAGAGTACAGCAAGTGAAGGTGATGCCTCTCACCAATACTCTCTGACCCACCAACTGTTTTCAGCTCCAGGACTCCCTGAATCCAAAATGATTCCTTTGGGTTTCTTCTCCAGTGTGTTTCCTGTGAAATCATGCAGGCTTTTAGCACCTGCAACATCATTAGGCAAGGAATGTCACAGATTTTTACCCATTGTGTGTGTCCCTTACGAGTATAATGGGTAATCACAGTGAACACAAAGGTGGGGGTTTTTATAATTTTCAGAGCAGGACTGTTGGTTGAGGGGGATGTGTGTAGGGAAGTGCCAAATGTGAAAGGACAGAGAGATGCCAAGAGAGCAGAAAGAGAGCACAGAGCACACCTTGGCTGAGATGTGACGGTTATAGAGGAAAAAAGAGGTTTTTTTGTGTGTGTGTGTGTATGTACACGCACAAGTGATGTACTAGTGCCAGTGAGCACTGAGATGGGAACATAAGTGTTTTGGCCTGATGCATGATGGAGTGTGGCCATCAGAGGTGAAGGAATTTGCTTAAAAAGCCTTGCTAAGCGAGGAGAAAGGAAACCCTCGGAGACAATGCAGCCAGTGAATGTAAGTTATTTGGCAATTAGCACGGGAGCATCTCTCCGATGGTGTGTGAAGCCATCAGGAGTCGCAATTACTTCACAGCACAGTAAGGAATTAATGAGAGCACTTTCACTGCTGGTGTTTAGTCAATCCTGCACTTTTCTGCATTCCCTCTAAGTGGCTTAGGCTGTAATATAATAAGCAGATGCTGGCCACAGGCACGTGAAGTTGTCTGATGGAGGCTATCACGGACACAACAATTAGCTAATGACAAAGAAAGGAAAAAGAACTGAAGTATTATCTGGAAGGAAGTGAAAGGGGAAGGCTGTCTGCAAGCAGAAAGAGGAGTGCATGTATGTGCGTGCACACGGAATGGGGCATTACTTTGTTTAGGACAAATAATCACAGTCATTAATCTCTGCCTGTTTGAAGAACAAGCATTTATGCTAATGTGTTGTTCAAAACAATTTTCTGCCTCTGATTAGAATTATTTGTCCCAAGACACAGTTTTCAGTCTGGTTCGCTGCTCTCCCTCTCTCACAGCCCTGAGGCAGGGAAGGTGTATCCATGAGGGAGTGCACACAGGGAGGGCTCACGTGGGATTCACTGACATTATTCATGTCCAAAGCACTAACTCAGCCTTTGCAGGTTTGCTGGAACAGGGTGTGAAAGGCAATACAAGACTCCAGATATAAATCCCTCCAGAGTGAAGAGACTCAGCATTAAAATAGGTCTATAATTGCATGAAAGAAGCATCTCTAACTGATTCAGAGCAGCTGAAACCAGACATAAGGGACACCCTTAGAGCATATTCATGCATTGATGAACCAGAAGCTATTTTCTGAGACTACCAGAAAGAGGGTCACAGTTTTACAGTATTACATTTGAGAAGAAATCCCGTATAAAAAGGGATTTTGCCCTTAGCTCTTCCTTTGTTAAGAATGGGAGAGTGCTTCCCATGGGAGTTACTTGCATTTACTTTTTATTTGAAGTGGAAGATTATTTGGATTAAGTCTCTGTTTAATGTTCACTAGCTACTAGCAGCTAGTGGTAACAAATCTATTAATTTCCTGATGTATCTGGAGGTACTGTACACAGAACTTGGTATAGTGTGTGTTTTGATATGGCTATAGTACAAACCTGCAGTATTTTTTTCATTTCAAGTCAGTTTTTTCTTCTAAAAATAATTATTAAAGAAGTCTTTATACAGAGAAAATATTTTTCAGAGTACAAGAACAAAACATTTATATCTGAGAGGATAACCACGCAGATAGTATTTTGCATCACTCAGCTTGGGTGATAGATAAATGATGGAAAAGGAAGACCACATTAATAACCTGAAAAAGGACTACTTTATCATTATTTTTATCTTAATGAAGCCAGAAGGGAGGCTTTCTGACTCATGTTCTTGTTTTGGTCTACAGACTGGGATGAATGTGCTTCTTACACTGAGAACGACTGCTCTGTGTTTGCAGAGTGTATCAATTTGATGGGCTCCTACATGTGCAGATGCAAGACAACCATGGATACCAATCCATCCAGGCCTGGAAGGAACTGTGAGGGTGAGCAAAAGACTGACATGCGGTTTTTCTTTGCCATGAAATGTTGGAATAAGTTGTGGGGTTTTACCTCTGCTTTTATGGCATCTGTTCATGTAATTGCACCTTTGCAGTCTCTGGCTGAAAGACTGTATCTGATCTGTCTCTGAACCTTATATATATATATCTTCAGATGAAATCTCTCTGAAATAACTGACTGATGAGCAACAAGGAGTAATTTTTCCTCTTTTTGTGTGTCTGTGGCTAATTTCCTCCCACTGTAATGGTCCCTGGCCTGGCAAGCAGAAGAGGAGACCCAGGAATCAAATCTGCCTCTTTGTGTAGTCACAAAGAAGATCCAGCCCTATAAAACCCACATATGCTACAGGGTGTTAATGAATAGCCAAGACTAGTTTCTGCAATGTTCTAACATGTGGTTGAGGGGCCTTGGTGCCATTTTCAGGTCAGACCCTGGTGCCTCCTCTTCCAGTCTGAGGTCCCATTTAAATGTGTTTCCTGTGTTGTAGGTGAGATTGTGGATCCTCTGGCTGAAACAATGGCTCCTGAAACAAGGAACAGCACAGAGTTTGCCCCTGAAGAAGGAAGCCCTGCAGGCCTTGCATCTCCTGCTGCCACTGAGACAGCGGCCTCTTCACTGCCCCTGGGTGACAAACAAGCGTCCCACAGTCCCACCAGTGCTCCTTCAGCCCCTTGGAAAAAAGGTCTGGCAGCACAGGTGGGCTTTGACAGCCCCAAAGCCACGGGGACCACAACCAGCAAGGCACTGGCTGTGAGCACAGAGAGTTGGGCAGACACAAGTCCGTGGCAGCAAAGCTCCCTGGAAAAGGCTTCCCCTGGAGCACCACAGCCAGAGGCTGCTCTCACACACATTCCCACGGGCACAGCTGGGCAAGAGCGACTCAGCTCCCCATTGCTGGCGTTTCCAAACCAAACAACCTCTGCTACCACCAGAACTCCTGGTGTGCCCCAGGCCAGCTCTGGAGGTGGCCCTGGCACAGCTCTGCCGGCCACAGGGGATGCTGATGTTCCCACCCTCAACGCCACTCTTGGAGCAGATGTGGAGGTGGGAAGAGAGAACAGCCCTTGGTCCCAGGAATACACCGGATCCCTGGGGTCTCCAGCTTTTCCAGGTGCCTCTCCAGCTCCCAGCCTGATGCCAGGCCCAGCCATGAATCACAGTGAGTATGGTGGGGATCTACACCCACGGTAATTCAACTGTTTGAAAAGCAAAGCCTCACTCAGAGTCAGCAAACATGCACAGCTGGAATCAGAGCTCTGGGGTGAAGGCGTCTGAAACTAGTTTTTCGGTGTCAAAATTGTTTTCCTGCAGGAGCTGGCACTTTTTTTTTTTAATCAGCTTCTCAAAATGATTTCTCTTCCTGGCAATTTGGCAGTTGGTTTTACCTATGTTACATTTCTTCATCTCAAAGAGGAGGAAACACATAATAGAGGAGGAAGCACAAACAGGAGGAAGCACTCAGGATGCACTGAACGTGGCTCATCACAGCATTTGCTGCTTGTCCTTTTGCCACACATCTTGGTTTCTCCTGCATCCTCTGGCACCAGGGCACTGCAGCAGCAGCAGCTGCCTACAGAGTTAACTTAGAGAGCCAGGGAGGCAAACGACCTGCCTTCCTATTCCTCTCACCAGAGGATGATGAGTCAGAGTCCCCCATAAATCCCCTGTGAGGCAGGAGCTGCCTGGAAACCTGTGAGATGTTTTTTCAAGAGCTGTAACTGAGAATAACAAGGCTGTCAGGGAGGGCTTAATCTGTTTGGGTTTGGGCAGATGTGTTGCAGCTAATTAGGGGATTTTTCTGTTGGTCGGGGCTGAATCATATTTCAAAGTTACAGTCAGACTTGGTCTTTAAAATTACAGCTTTTTTTTGGGATAGGAATGCTGCTGTCTCTGCCTATCACTAAGTGTATTTTCTTCTGTAGTGTGTCACTATTCAGGAGTTATTTCAGATTTCTTTCTTCTTGTCTTTATTCTCTCTCTGTGCCCTCCTCGTCTCTCTGATCCCAAACCACACTCACCTCTGCTCTTTCCTCTCTCCCTCCCCTATGATCTCCTGTTTCTGGTGATCTCCACTCATCCAGCCCTGCTTCTAGTTCTCCCTCGTTCCTTTCTCCCTGGAAAACCACTTTTTCAGCTGTGTAAGGCCAGTTCTGCTGCTTCTCCAGCCTCTCCTACCCCCAGCCCTGCTCACCAGTGCCATGGTGTCCATTCCTGCCACCCTGTCGTGCTCTGGGGAGCCCTGCCAATGCCCTGCTCAGCTTCTGTCTTCTCTCTTCCTTGGCTCTGCTTGGCATGGATGAAACCTGGAAGAGAGATGGGCAAATACTTGATTTGGGACCTCAGTGGTCAAATAGAGGAAACAGATAATTTTGGGCTGAAAAGCATGTTATGCTGAACTGAAAACCTTCACTTACAGCTTTGCTTTGTCTTCCCCTGCCCCCTTTCAGTGTAGGGTTTTGTTTGTTTTTAATGAAAACAAATTTATTTTTTTTAATATCAAAATATCTAATTTTAACTGATCAAAAAATAGAGGTAATTTTTTTTTTTCAGATGGAAAAGAAATTGAAGAATTCTACACAAGTTCAGTTTATAAAAAAACCTGTTTTCTTTTCCCTGAATCAAGTATTCAGCCAAGGGCCTTTGCTAGGAATGAAGCTCATGAAGAGATTATGCCTGAGGAATAAGAGCAAGAACCACCATGGTGGCATCTCACTAGCCCAGGGCAGGAATTTAGAGGGCAAAAATCCAGGTTTGGTGGAGTTTAACATGTAGCTCCTCCTTGTGGCATCATCTCTGACCTGGAGGCTTAACCTCAGCCAACTCTTCATAGTCTGTCATGTCTTTTAAATGCTGATTTTTTTCATTTGAGAATTGTTCAGAACATTTTCCCCTCTCACCTGAGATAACTGAATGTGATTCACCCCTCAAATCCCTATGTTCATCTGACAGGACACAAGGCATAGCAAAAAGCAAGTCCAAAATCTTGGATCGGACAGGTGGTGGAGGGGGTTCCTTCAGGATCAGAAGTATGCTGGGATAAAGGAAGCCTCTTTCAGTGGCTTGCTTCAAGCAGGCATTTCTCCTCTCCCCTGCAAAGCTTTACTTGATTACTATTTCTTTTTTTCCAGATCCTGTCCCAGTTCAAATGAATATTTTCCCAATGTGACTAGAACCAACTTTGCTGTAAAGTGGCCCACAGAGTTTATGCAGAGCCCTGCTTTACAATTCTTGCCGTTTCAAAAATATGGGAGACTAAAACTCAGCATAGGAGTCTGACAGTCTCAGAGCTGGAACCTGGTGCCTTACACACTGTAGAAATGCAGATGGGTGTGTGTAGGGAGCGAAGCAAGCTGCTACACCAGGGACTACAGACTTGTAACTTGATTCACAAGCAACTTTAAACTGGATCAGATAATAGAATCCCTGAGGTTTTTGGTGAAGACTATCCCATATTTTTATAAACCATTGTAACATTAGGTCTTGGTATGCCAGGGGTGATGACCTGTCAGCAGCTGGGAGGCAGAGGGAAGACGAGTTGCTGGCAATGGCCACGGTGTTGACTGATGGCAGTCAACTTGCCTGGCAAGCCACTAAAAGGATGCCAAGGGTACAAACCATGTCTTGAGGAGCCCTTTTATCTGATCTCTGATCACCTCCAGTATCTATGGTAACGATGCCAAACCCAGAGATATTGGGAAAACCAGCAATATCAGGAAATAACCTAAAATGTTTGAGACTGCCTTAATGTGATGTGGTTTCAGGGGGAAAGATGAATCCCACTTATCCCACCACAGCTGTCTAAAGTGTAGATGTCCAACCTCAGGCAGCTGCCCAGCCTTCCTCTGAGGCTGCAGGGAGGACCTTGGTGCTGCAGTGGTTTGCCCTCTGGAGGGACTGGTGGGGCAGCTAGCTGAGCATCTCAAACAGAGCTGGCACATATAAGAATTACAGGAGATCAGCGACCTTCTTGAGAGTCATCTGGGGCTCAGATGGGGCAGACTAAGGTGCTGAATGACTTATATAGAGACTTTTGGATACCTTTCAAGCTTTCTGCTGTTATGAGTTGATGCATACAGATATCCAGGTGACCAGGCATGCTGGAGACTGTCACACCCTTGTCCAAGGGCTACAGTCCATAGAACATGAATTTAAACTGTCTTTTTTTTCTTACTTTGCAGCTGTCCAGAGGCTTAGTGGCACAGTTCGGATAACAAATGTGAAATACTCCCCAGGCTTTGGCAATACCAGCAGTGAGGAATATCAAACCTTTGCACAGCTCTTTGTTGATGAAGTAAGTGGCTTATAAGGATGTGACCTGTTACCTGTCTCAAAGAAACCACGTGTATGGTCTTTCTCCCATGAAGGCTCGTGTATGTCCCTTGGCACAGCTGTAAGGTCTGGGTTCCCCCAGCTGTCTGAGACTGCAGGATGAGTGTGCAGCTGTGTTTTAGAAGGAGATAAGGATTTGGGGGTTCTCTGGTGCCTCCATGTCCTCTGCTCCTCTGCTTCTCATACCCAGTTGTACTGGATTATTGATTTCCTCCAGGGGTGTGGTGAAAAGTTAATAGAAGTTGCAAAGAGCTCTGCTATCTTTGCCCTGCACAGCACTACATTAATGAACTGTATGATTGCTATTACCCTTTGTCATAGTACCTCAAGGCTGACAGTTCTTATAATCATCCTTGTTTTTGTAGCCCCATGTCTGGAAAGGGAGTGGTTTCTTGTCATGTCACCTCTGCCCTCACTTCTGATTAGAGTGCAGGATATCAAAGCACATCGTGATATCCGCTGCACATTTAACACTCAGAATTCTCAGGCATTGCCTTTGACAGTATCACTCTTCTAATTTTGTAGGGAATTTATCAGAAGTTTTGTTCCTTTGGTGCTCGCTCAGACATACCCGTGCCTGAAAAAAACCTCTGGTTATGCTGCACTGCTTTATTGCCTTCCTTATCTCCCCTTTACTGTCTGTTTATTCAGAGGCCTTGATAACTGTGGTGACAAATCCACTGCTGATAATTGTATGAATTTCAAACCCTGCTGAGGCCTCCCTAAACTCACTGTGTGCAGAGTCACAGCCTGGCACTGAGACACAGCTGAACACAGCGGGTGCACCGACGGCAGCGCGTGTTGGGGCAGAGGTCAGGCCAGCGTGGGGTCAGAGACAACTGCAAGGAGGGAAAAGGGTGGTCCATTTGTCTGTGCATGATGTTGTCTTCTTGGATATCAAATCAGCTTCCCAGTGGTCATTGCTGGTTTGCACCTTTCTGGATGTGTTAGCGCAGCACAGCTTTCACCGAGCTGCTCCGGCCCCGAGCTGTCACATCAGGAAAACAGTGACAGAACCAGAGTGACGTGATTAGCAAAGTGAAAAGGGAGCAATTCTCCACTGACCTCACTCTCATTCAGCATCACGTTCTGCCCCAGGGCTATTTCAGAACAGCACAGTGTTGAAACGGACTAAAATTAATATATTTTCTTCATTCAGTCAGATACTTTAATCCAGAAAATCACAGCTACAAGTATGCTTGGAAAAATTGTAAAATGATGGCATAAAGGAACAAAAGTAAGCTTTGTGTCAGTTTTACCTGGTTCTCGAGTTTTCAAGCAGAAAATGACCACTTGTGATTATAAAGAACTAATTCCTTTTTCCAGCGCTCCAGTTTTGTGGATCAGCTGGTGAGATGTGTTAGTGCTGATTTCTTCCCACTTCTAAGCCACTCTATACAGTCTGTAGTTGCATAGCTACTGGATATGGCAAAAAATATTATAGCAAAATAATATTATAGCAAAATAATATTACAGCAAAATAATATTACAGCAAAATAATATTACAGCAAAATAGTATTACAGCGAAATAATATTACAAATGTTGCATTTTTAGAAGCCAAAGGAAATGAAGTTTAGGAGACCAGAAGGATCTGCAGATTTTCTTTTCAGGTTATGAGGACCAGAAATGGAGCTTTTAAAGTGAGTTAGGAAAGTTCTATGGGTTTTAAAAGCACTATCAGGTTCCAGTTAAATACACTTTGCCAGAGACGTTTTTTAAAACCTCTTTGGAATCACTATCTTCAATTCAGAGGATTTATAAATCCTGATGTGTATAATGTTCTTTAGCCCCAGCACTTAAGAGCCTTGTGGTCAAATTGGCAGCACAGCAAATGGAAATATCATCCTTTAAATAATGTGTAAATCAGAAGGAGGTAAAAACTTGATGGGACAACTTGCACAGTCATTGTCCAGGGTAGTTTCACCATCCGCCTTGCAATGCAACTGAAAAACAACATAGCTGAGGGTGAGGGAGTGTTTTAATCTTCTTGGGGTGTGCTCAGCCTGTCTTTGAAAAGAGCCAAGAAGAATATCATGGCAGTAGGGCTTGTCCTCAAGAAAATAGATCAGGAAAGACAAAAAGTTTGAATTGAAAATACATTCACTGAGGTGCATTAAATTTCTCAGTGGCTGCTGACATTTTCCCTGGACCTATGGATGGGTGCTCCCAGAAAACCCACCAAACATGCCACAGCCATCCCTGGGGTAAGCCTGGCTGCCTGGGTCTGCCACTTCCCTTTTCCTCAAAAAAAAAATAATAAAAGAAAATTGGCCTTTTCCATCCTGTTAAATTGGGTTTAGCGTGATTTCCACCTGGCCCTGAAAATGGACTTTACCTGCCTCCTGTTTTTCTTGCCTGAGAAAGGGAACTGGGGTTAATTTTCCTCACGTTCTCTCCCTTTTTTGTGACTCTTCTGATTTCTCCTGCTCTGCCACTGTTCAGGTTTCCTTATTTCGTACAGAAATTGTAGATACAATGACAGACTCAAAGATAATTTGTCTTATAAGAAAACCCCACGCTCAAGGGTATTATATACTGAATATTTATTTCCAAAAAGTTCTCTTTTTCCCCCTTTTCTTCTAGCCCTCCTTCATCAAGCATTGTTTTGATAACCCAGGGTGTGGTACCTGTTGTGAAATCCTGAAGCCCTTTGCATAAAGGGTTTTGTAGTGTCACCTAGTGGCTAAACACAAGTACAGTGAATGTCCCCCGACACTTCAAGCTGCGAGATCTGCTTTGGGAGGAAAAATAGGAATAAGGACAGAAACAAAACAAACTCTAGAGAGTCAGCCATATGAGGAGAGGCTGAGGCAGTTGGGGGTGTTTAGCCTGGTGAAAAGGAGGCTCATAGAGGATCTTCTCACTCTCTATGACTCCCTGAATGGAGGTTGTAGCCTGGTGGAAGTCAGGCTCTTCTCCCAGGAAACACTGACAGGACAAGTGGAAATGACCTCAGGCTGTGCCAGGGGAGGTTCAAGTTGGACATCAGGAAGAATTTGTTCACTGAAAGGGTTGTTAAGCATCGGAAGGGGCTGCCCAGGGAGATGGTGGAGTCCCCATTCCTGGAGGTGTTCAAGAAACTGGACGTGGCACTCAGTGCTCTGGTCTAGTTGACAAGGCAGGGATTGATCAAAGGATTGACTCAGTCTTGGAGCTCTTTTCCAATCTAAATTATTCCGTGATTCTGTGAAAAGGAAGAACTGAAAAAAATAAAATTTTCAGGATAGATAAGGAAAGAGGATGAAATCAGGGTGGGCTAAGAGGATGTCACAGGTGTTTGTATTCAATGTCCAGAAGTTCAGACAGAAAATATGAAAGATGAAAACTTAGGGCTGACCTCCAACTTTTCAGTACCTGCTTATGAAACAGCAGAAAGAGAGAGGAGAAGGGGTCCAAAGCCCCCAGCTTGGTGAAATGGGAGATTTGGGGTCTGACAAGGACAGCCTACAGTCTGCCCAGGCTTTTATAGGGCAGTTAGCTGTTTCCATCCTCATGGGACACCACAAGGTTTGCTGTGTGGGATTTGCAGGCACGTGGGAGTCCTTTCCAGGTGCATGCAGGGGGTTTGTTCTGTGCAATGTTACTTTGCCCCTCAGCACATGCAACACACAACAGCCCTGATGACTCAGGGAAGGGCTGCAAATTAGTGCCCCTGCAAATCCTGGGGCCGTCTCCAGAGCTGGGTAATGGAGAATGGGCAAGTCAGGGCTGGGTAATGCACAGCAGGCAGGGCACACAGGTGTGCAAAAGCTGTGGTCACCCGGGATAATCCAGAAGAAAATGCACCAGCTCTGTGCATGGGCGCAAGAGAAACAAGGCTGCTTCTCCTTCTCCTGCTGGCTCCCAGCACTGACTCCTGCCTTGCCTCTTCCCAAGGCTTTCCCTGGCAGGAGTCACTGCTGGCAGCCCTGATCATTACACCACTGGCACGACCTCTGCCTTAAACTCGTGGCTGAAGTCCACCCGTCCTGCTCCAGATATTTCCTGCAGAAGTTACGTGGAGGAAGAAGCTGTTGGAGGTGGCTGCAGTGTAGCCCCCACCCAGCCCCTTAATTCCCTGGAAATCTGAGCACGGGAAGGGAAGTGAGTGATGTACCCTAAAGATAGGACCTAAAGCAAAGTGAGGTGTGGGGAAGAAGTGACTCTCCTGCACAGGGCAGTGGTGCCAGCTCTCACCTGGGCCAAGTGATGCTCGTCTGGCCCTTACGGTGAGGTTGCCCTGCTGCTCTGTGCCTTCTTCTCCTGAGAGCAACAGCCACTGGAGGGGGAAGGCAAAGAGCAAATACGCTGAGAAATCACAAAAAATGTAGGTGTTTCTTTGGCTGTTTCCATCTCTCTGTGTCCTGCATTGAGGCTGGTGGCTGCTGTGTGTACCCCAGGCTCGGGAGGGTTGATAGGGTCAGCACGGGATTTATCTTTCCTGTGCTGCTGGGAGCTGCTGTCTTGCTGTGGACAGTGTCCCCTTGCACTCTTGATGGCAGTTTCTAAGTGCAATTTTAATAATGATAGCTCAGAACAGCCTGTATTACCTGCCTGATGCAGGCTCGAAAGTTATGTCCCACTTATGCTGCACTTTCTACCCGTAAGTGTGAAAGAATCTAAAAAGACTTCCCAGACACATGTGAAGGAGACTAAGAAACACAGAGGATCTGTGAGCACCTCCTGGAGAGAGGGAGAGAAGAAAATATACAATTCTAATGGAAAAATTCAGGGCACTGGTGGATGGTACCACACAGTCTGGGCTTACCCAGGCACCTGGTCTTCAGGTATGTTCTCTGCCTGTGGTTAGATGGCATGCAAACCTCTGTGTGTATGTGTGTTCCCTGCTTTCCTTTGGGATGTCCAGATAGAGAGTCCAGTACTGTCTTATCAGGCCCCTTTTCTGGGTAACTAAAGGAAAAGGACTGAGGTGAGAACTTGTGGATGTTTACCAGTTTCTTTTCATAGTGAGTTTCTCAGAAACAGTCTGTATTTCTGTGTGTAATGTTTTCTCAAAATGTCCTCTAAAGCTGAATTAATATTATCCTTGTGTCTGGCCTGGTGTTGCTCCCATGAGATGATGCCATCTGACCTATGTCTGCTTCTCCTGTGGCTGGTGCTGGGGCTGGAGATGAAGGGGAAAGATGCTGGAAGTTCAAATGCTGTTGTACATCCTCCTTGGGCTCCTGCATAAGGCCAGGTGCCCTATCCCATGGAGTGCTCTCCTGTGTGAAGAGGAGGAGATGTTCCCTTGGTTGGCTGCCCTCCAGAGGTACCCAGCCTTGGAGGGTGGAGAGGGAAGAGGCTGAGCATAAGCTGCAGTCTGTTTAGCTCTTTGAGAGGGGTTGGTGGCTCCATCTGAGCTGGGCAGTGGCGAGGCTGGGCAACCAAGTCGATGCAAACCCTCACACAGGGCTGTGCTTTCCCATCCCACAGAAAGAATTCCATCTTCCTCTCCAGCACGGCGAAGGAGGCAGCTTTTGGAGCTGCCCAGACAAGTCATGACTGAGGCTCACTGCACTTTGAAAAGGGTGGCATTTTCTTTTCTGAGCCGCCAGTGAAGTCCAAGGTGACTGTGCACATTGTGAGCAGCTATTTTATGGATTTCTCTAGACTGACCTAAATTCAGCAGTGATTTGGTGCTGCGATACTTTGAGGCTGACTGTTTCTATTTAAAATAGTGCAGAGCCATTTCCTAGCCCAGCTCTTGGGCTCTCCAAGATGATCAAGAATCAGGGCTGTGTGCCCCGATGACAGTCAGAATTTGCAGAAAAAAATATGACAGAAGACTTTAATGAAGTATTTCTGAAATCAAATTGAAGACTGGGAGGTTGAACTGTTTGGCAGAGCAGATGAAAAGAAACACCCTTTTGTTTTCTTTACCCTGGTTCTGGCCACTTAAAAAGAGGTGTTATTGGCTTGTTTCTTATGAGAAATCAGATGTGAAGAAAGGCTTGAGGGTGGCCTGCTGTAAGCTGTAACATACCTGGGCTGTGGGACCCCTCTGAGAGATATATGCAGTGTGGAGTGTCAAGAGCGTCTCCACTTCCACCAGCAGCTCTTCCTCATTTTGGATTTCCCCTCTCCTGGAGGCATTTTGAGAGGCAGAACACGGGAACTCCCCTGCAGCCTCCTCCCTCCCTTTCTGTTACCAGGGGCAAGGACCAGTGCCAAACGACAGATGAGATATTTTAGTTGCTTGACTTGTTTAATATTCGTGGTTAAATATACACCACATCCTTCAGCTGCTGTAGAATGAAAACGTTATAAAGCAAAAGGTCAGTTTTCTGCTGCTTCCCTCTAGAGTATGGAGCACAGTTGAAATGCATAATGCTCTTCTGGGAGCCTACACAGCCTAAAAATTTAATTGCCCCTATGCATCCATCTCCACGTGCATTTTGGTTTTTTTCCAGGTACATAAATCTCTGCCCCTCGATGTTCTTCAGCAGGTGGATGCTGGTGTGATTAAAGTGCTGATAACGGGTATTACCAATGGCAGCACTGGGGTAGATTTCAATTTAGTGGTTGCAGAAGATGTGGATATCCACTGTGTCATCACCACTTTTCGGGATGCCTTGGAACACAGCTCCTACTTCACCATTGACAAGAGCAGCCTCTCCATAAAGGGTAAGGAGCAGCTTGTATCCCAAGAGTTCTTCAGGACTAGAAAGATGATAAAGCCTATTGTTAATCTGTATCTTTTGAAGTGAAAGTATGTGTAAAACAGGTGGATGAAAAGCCTTTCTCTCTCCTTATATTGCTCCTGCTTATCCATCCAAGAAGTTTTTTCACATAACATCAATAGATGACACAGGAAATGAGGTACCACTGATCCAAAAGGACAAAACCAACTGGTCTTTTTGTCTATAACTAGAAACAATTTTATAGAGAAGAAGGTAAGGGAATGTTAGATACACTGGTCACAAATTTTAGAGTCCATAAACTACCAGTGGAAATGGGTCCCTGTACACAGCCATAACTAGCTCTGTTTAAAAGAATTGAAAAACACATTGCCCTCTGCTTTGCACTGATAATTTTGCATGTGATAGAAACTCCAAGAAAGAAATAAATGAACATGTGAATTCTTCTTCACTGGGAGCACATGTTTTCCTCACACACCTGTGGATTGGGAGTTCAGGTGAAAACCCACATGTTGCCAAGACCAGCACGATGGCTGATTGTACAACTTCTTTTCCTTTATATATAATTTAAATAAGTAACAAGAAATATTAGTCTCTTGACTGACAGCTGCTGAATTCTGCTCACAAGTTAGCTCTGAAAAAAATACCAAATAAAATATCCTTGACATAATGCATTTGTCCTAAGAATATTGTTAAAACTGTCAATTAGAATCTAAAGCAAAATTTCTTCAGAAACATGTTTATGCTCTGCCCTGTGCATCCTTTTTGTTTGTTACACTCATAGCTGTAAATCTGGAAAGTTACAAATCCTGTAAAGTAGTAGGATCACAACTATCTCATGGTGGGACTTGTAGAGAACCTGTCCCCCTTGAACCTGTGCTAAAACAAATGGTTTGTTGCAGGGACAGGTCCCCATAGAGCAGGTGCTGCTTTCTGAGTCCCACCTAAGGTGGTATGTCCTTACCCGGTCTTATTTTTAGACCTTGGGAAGAGAAAGGGAAGTAAAAGCGTATTTTGCCTTTAAAAAGTGAAAATTTTGGCCAGGTGAAAATTAAGAAAGCAACCAGAGGGTGATTTGGACCAATGACACAACCCTCCTGCTTCACTCATGCTGGGCATTTCCCAACCACCTCCTCGGGAGTGTGAAATGGGGGAAAAACTGAGGAAGCCTCAGGGTTAGGAGCATCCCCTTGGGCTGCTGCTGAGTTTAGGAGGACAGGAGCAGTGTGCCTATATTTAAACATCAACTGAGCATCATTGGCAGCCCAGCTCTTGGAGGGGTTTGTCAGCGCCTTGCAATTTTCCTTCTAGGCTGTGCTTCCAGTATCCCGCCTCTCCTAGACCTGGCAGCTGCCTGACACACAGAGTAGGGTATCACACCTTAGAGGTGTGACCTCATCGTGACACCCTGTAGGGAGTCAATAAGCTAACACAATCCCAGTTTGGAGGCAGGAACCGGAATGGTTTGTTGGGTTCACAACTCGACATTTAAGATGTTCAGGGTTTACATATTCAGCAAGGGGGCATGCATATTTATTTATTACAAACAGGGGATTTCACAAGGAATGAGGTAAGGGGAAATCCTAAATTACAAACTTTTGGGTCTTAGGAATTACCTCATGAGAAAAACCCACTTTAACTTGAGGGATTTTACAGGGGGGACAGGTATTAGATATACATATGAAACAGGTTGCAGAGTATACACTGGCAAAGAGGAGAACACAATGGGTTTATGCAGAGATTTGACAACATCAGAGCACTGTCTCCCTGTTCCTTGGCAGAGCATTCCAAACAGTAACATCTGGTCTGTCCCTCAAACAGAGGTTTTTCCCCAGCTTCTGTGACTCAAGGTTTTCTGTTTAAACCTAGAGGTTTCTTGTCTCATATCCAAAATTTGGAATCCAACAACACCCTGGTGATTTGACTATTCTCCAGTTTCAGAACTATCAGATTTTCATTTATATGCTCTCCAGCATTGTCTTCTGCTTAAATGTACCACCCAACAGATTGTGATGAATGCACAAGCAGAGAGGGACGACTGCTCCCCGGATGCCTCGTGCCATAACACTCTTGGCTTCTACCAGTGCAGCTGCAAGGAAGGATGTGTGAATGCACAGCCAGAAAGGCCTGGAAGAAGTTGTGAAGGCAAAAAGAATATTCATTTCCTAGTGGCTAACTGAATGCTTAGTGATCTGATCTTTACTAGGTCATGGTCACACTTGTCACACAGGTCTTGTAATTTTGCCAGGCATTGCTTTGCCTCTTTGTTTTCAGGTGGATCTTAGTGGGGAAAGGCTTGCAGTTAGGTGTTTCTGACTGCAATACTCTATCATGACAGTCTACTAATGAATATTTAATGCTGTGTTCACAAGGTCCTTTAACAGTTTTGTTTCTCATATTTTCCACAAAAACTAGATAGGATTGTCAAGATTGTTAGTTATGTTCATTAGTAGCAGAGGGGACAGAAGAGATAACAGAGAAGGTAACAGAAAGTACCAGATAGGTGGCTTGACCTCTGCATGGCAGGAGGAAGGAAATGTTGGTATTACAAACTTCCTTTTGGTACAAATTGATTAATTTCTCTTTCCCCAAGTCATTTGTTAGCTGGTGTTTGATGGGTCTTTAAACTCCTTCTCTTAGTCTTCATCAACAGTTTATATTTGCTTCTGTAACCACATTGATAAGGAACTCTTTCACTGAAGTTACATCGATTTGTCAACTGATACCAACCAGTTCAGTTTTGTTTAACTAAGATAATAATGTCACATAAAGTTTTTATGAAATCCAGCTCTGTCAGAACTCAGCCTTTTATTTTTTCTTCCTCTGTTGCTCAAATCAGTAACTTTTTCATTTGGGGCATTTCTGAAAGGTGGGGAGTTCCAGAAAGAGATATTGATGATATAGATATAGATATATGTGTGTCTGTTTCTGTGTGTGTGTGTGTTTGTTTTTGTGTACAGATTTTACATGTTGCTTGGGAAATAGATGCTATTTGTATGTTCAAGCCACTAAAATTATTTAAGTGAAGTTTTGTGCAATGAGACCCATCCTCTGTGTTTCAGTGCAAATGGAGTTTATTATCTTCATGGTCTCTAAGTCAGTGGTGGATGAATAATTAGGATACTTCTACCAGCAAAGAGCCACAGGGTAACCCCAGAACCTGTGCTGGGTGTTTGATATTCAACAGGAACATTGATCTCAACCTGTGCTTCTTTTTTCTTTCCTTTTCTCCACTTGCTTTCTTCCTGAAACCATTAGAGATTGCTACCAACACATTTGATCAGCTCCCCACTGTCTCTCAGGACAAAAATGTGCAATGTGGGTTTGCTACATGAGGTTTGTCCCACGCTTCCCCCCAAAATGGGTTTTCCAAGTGCTCAAGGTCATTTTTTTTTGAGTAGCAACTGGTCACAAATGGGGCCAGTTTTTTTTTTAACAAACTCTGCTCCTGTTTATAACCTCACCCAGAACTGTGGAGTCTCCTGCAGTACCAAGCAAAAACATATGAACACTTGTTGAGCCACTTGCAGTTGGGGATCTCTCGCAGGCACTGACCTTCCAAAAGCTGTATGTACATGTTTTACACACTAACTGTTGCAGCTGTCAGGAAATAAAGCACTTGAGCTTTACTGACGGGCATTGTGTGTGTCTCTGGGGCTCTTGAAAAAAGCCACAGCTTTGGCAGCAAGTGGAGCAGGTTAAAAAAACAAAAGAAGCTAGTTTCCTGCCAGTAACTATGAGTGTCCTCTTTGGAGTTTGCTTTTGACTCATGAAATCAATCTGAACCTGTCAATTACAACAGTACCTTTATTTTTTTGGCACTCTTCAGAACTTCCTGTCAGCCAGAAGGCAGCAGTGACAGATAAGAAACCTGTGCACAAAACAGTTTTATCTGTGACATCTTTGCAAACTTCTTCCCCTGCTTCACTGGACTTCTCTGCTGCTGAGCACAAAGCTCTAGAGGACACCACATTCTCCAGCACGGTGCTGCCTCCTCTCACCAAGGATCCCGTGTCAACTCCTGATCTTTCCCCTCAAGCATCTCCAGCCCCCCTTGGCAAGCCTGCCCAGGAGGCTTCCATTAAAGATGCAGTGAGCGTGTCCTGTGAAATTGAGAAGATTGTCCTGGCCATCCAGAAGAGGTTTTTACAGCAGGAGTCCATCCCAGAAGCCTCCCTGTACCTGGGGGAGCCTCACTGCAATGTGAGCAGGAGCAATGGCACTCACGTGGTGCTGCAGGCAGGATGGAGCGACTGCGGCACCGAGGTGGAGACTGTAAGTCCTCTGAGCCAGGGATTGCAAAGAAACTCTGGAGCACTTTTATCTCTGGGGGTGTTGAGGGGAGAGGCAATGGCAGACCCTTAGTTAGGTGTACAGTCTATCAGTTGTTGAAACTCCTTTGGAGATAGAAAACCCCTTTTTGTGATGGAATGGGGGCCTCTGTTTGGGATGGGGCCTGAGCACAAAAGAGAAGGGGAGTCTTTGAGGTCAGGCAGCAAAACTCACAGAATCACAGAATGTACTGACTTGGAAGGGACCCACAAGGATCATTGAGTTCAACCCCTGGCCCTGCACAGGACCATCCCCAAGGGTCACACCATGTGCCTGAGAATATCATCCAAATGCTTCTTGAGCTCTGTCAGCCTTGGTGCTTTGCCCACTGCCCTGGGGAGCCTGTTCAGTGCCCAACCACGCTCTGGGTGAAGAACCTTTTCCTGATATCCAACTTAAACCTCCCCTGACACAACTCCAGGCCATTCCTTTGGGTCTTGTCCCTGGTCCCCACAGAGCAGAGCTCAGTGCCTGCCCCTCCTCTGCCCCTCCTGAGGAAGTTGTAACTGCAGTGAGGTCTCCCCTCAGTCTCCTCTTCTCTAGCTGAACACACCAAGTGCCCTCAGCCACTCCTCACACAGCTTCCCCTCAAGGCCCTTCACCATCTTGCTTGTCCTCCTTTGAATGCTCTCCAAGAGTCTCTCCAAACTGAGAGTCACTTCCCATGCCTCTCTGGGTTCCCTTTGCAGCTGTCAGAAGCTCCTCTTTTCTTAGAAGCAATATCATAGTCTCATTTTGACAAATACTTCAACTGCTACCAGTAGTGGGGACAGAGAGTGATGGCTACCTCCTTGGATCCTAAACCAAAGGCTATGCTCAGACCAGACCAAAGTACAGAAATTCCTTTCTGGACCAATGATCATTGCTAAGAAAGGATCATTGTCCCATCCCTGGAAGTGCTTAAGGTGAAGTTGGATCAGGTTCTGAGCAACTTGGTGTAGTGGAGGTGTCCCTGCCCATGGCAGGGAGTTGGAATGGGATGATCTTTAAGGTCCCTTCCAACCTGTCATTCTGTGATTTTGTGATTCTATGACATGATACGAAGGAAAGTGAGGAAGAATTGAGGATTTTCGTTGTCTCGCTGTACAGCAACAAAGATATTAGAGGTTTAATGTGATTTTTGTAGCCAGAAAAATGGAGAATACCTGAGCATTTGACACTGGTAAACCTGTACCTCTGCCTGTATCCCTATAAACACTGATTTTCACAAACTGTGCTTTTTTCCTTCTGTGTTGCAGAACATGACTAATACTGTAGTGAAAACCATCCTTCAGAACGATGTTCCTACTCAGGGAATAATCCACCACTTAAAATTTGCCAGTCCCATTCACTGTGTGTTTCAAAATGATGTCTTGGCTTCCTCTGGGTACACTGCAGAAGGGTAAGAACCAACTCTCTCTGCTTTGAAGTGCTGCTGTGTGGCTGAGTGCTGCTGCATTGGAAAGATCCCCAGGGGCTGTAGCTGTATCCAGTGAAGGTACTTGCAATGCTGAACAGAATGCCATCCTGGGAGTCCTGTGCTCAGGAGATTCCTGCTACGTGCTTCTCTCCCACTCCACCTATTGTGCCATTAGATCCAGCAGCCAACAAGCTTGAGACGAAAATAAACCTTTGGGAGCCACTGGTGCAGGTTCAGGAATTCAGAATTCTTTGCTTTCCTGGGCAATCCCATGTAGCAATAACGGCATTTTCCTGCTTTTGGAACATATCAATAATGTATCTTTTTACCTGATGTGGGCCTGCAGACTCCTCTGTGGGTTCTGAGAATGACAATCATTAACCCCCACAAACCCTGATGTGGTCAACTTGGAAAAAGAGAAGACACATAACGCAAATCACAGGGGTTTTTATGGAAGGCCCTGTCTTCAATTTAGATGTAATCAAATCCACACTTCACAGAAAATGTGGCAGCACAAGCTTTGCTCTGGTGGGGAATGTCCTCCCTTCATACAAATGCACCTCCTCTAGGACCATGCTTAACCTGCTGGCACCAAATCCACCTTCTGCTTACTAACCCTCTCCAGACATCACATTTTCCTTTCTGTTCCCCTGCAAAGTCTTTGTCAGGCCCCTTCTCTCTGAGCTCTATAATTTTCTCATGCCCCTCACTTTCTGGGATTCAGGTTTTGATTACTGAGTTCAGATTTGTCCTTTATAATTTCTTTTTATTCTTCTGTTCTGCACGAGGCTTTTACTGTCCTTATTTTGAACTTTCAGAGACCTCATGGTCTTGTTCCCATTCTGCTGCACTCAAATCTCTCTCTCTGCTCTGCTTGTATTGCAGAGACATTCCACCCTTTGGATTTTCCCACTCGTGTTTCCATGCTCTCTGCCTTCCCAACTGGATGCATTTTCCTCCTTTCCTTTTGAACAGTACCCTGACACCCTGGACTGCAGATAACTCTTCACTATTTATAAGCTCAAGAGGTGGAGAAACAGCCACTGATTTAGGAGTTACAGAAGCATACAGTAAAATTTGTGGTCTTTAAAGGAGGCTAATTGATTTTCCAGACTTTACACCATCTTTGAGGACTTGCATGGATCTGGACACTTCAGAACACAAATGCAGCTGTTTATTGGGAACTCCCCAATACCAAAGAACTTCAGTGTCTCTGCCAGTGACGATGTGCTGATCGAAGTAGGGATGCAAAGAGAGGACAGCAAGCTCAAGGTGGTTCTCACTGACTGCTGGGCAACTCCAACTAATAATTCAGTGGATCCCCTCTCATTTGCTTTTATCAGCAACAGGTACAGCAATACCACTTTACAAATAGCATCTGCCATGCCTTAGATCTTCCAGTGGCACTGACTGCTAATGTGTTACATTTTAAATGCCTTTTGTGTGTGTTCTTGTCATTCACGTACATGTTCCCTTTCCATTTGGACTGGTCACACCTTTGAACAACAATAGTAGGTGTGAAAATGGTTTTCAAAGGGCCATGTCATAGTTGTTTGAGCTTCCTTGTCTTCCCTACAGTTTTGCCAAGGCATTGTACTTTTGACCTGAAGGTGATTTTGGCAGTCAGCAGTGAAAGAGCATTGGAAAAATGTGTGCTTTATTTCTCTGTGGTTCAGAGGTTTCTCTTGTGGTTTCAGCTTTACCAAGAGCTTATATGCCTCTCATCAATGAAGAAATAGGTTAGCTAATCCCTCACACATGATATTAATGCAGCCTCTGGTAAAAGAGGAGCTTTGTTCCTGTCTGGATCACTAATGTCACCCCAATGTCACACTCCTTGGGCTCACCTGCCACCTTAAAATACAGAACAATCCTTTTGCTCAGTAACAAAACCTATTCCTTTTAATGTGATGGTTTTTCAACCTGTGTTTGGTGAAACCAAGTTTAAATCCTTCTTTCTGCTACTCTTTTCCTTGTTTTCCAACCCTCTGACCACTTCTCAAATCTCTTCTTCTATTTGGTTACTGTGACAATAAGCAGCAAACATCCCCTTATCATCACTGCACTGCCAGAGTTGCTTCATGAAGGGTCTGGCTGTGACTTCCTAAAGGAAGGAAAGGCCTTAGGACCCAAATTATGTGCTATAGCCACAACCTGCCTTCTCTAGTCCTATCTGTTGTGTCTGGTTTTCCTCTTCCTTTTCAGCTGTCCCATCCCAAATACATACACCACACTGCTAGAGAATGGGAACTCGAACAAAGCCCAGTTTAAGATGAAAATTTTTTCCTTTGTCAACAATTCTGTGGTTTACTTACACTGCAGAAATCGTATCTGTATGGAGACACCGGGAAGAACCTGCAGGACAGTAAGTGTTTTGCTATTTTTCTCCTCAAAAATATATTTTTTTTCTCACTGCCTTATGCTGTCCTGCAGTGGAATGGAAGGAGTAATGTTTCCAAACTGGGTTTAAATAGCTCTTGAAGTTTCCTTTACTGGGAGCAGAGAGGAGTGGGGAAGGACTACAACCATGTGGAAGTGTCTGCCTTTCTTCCTGTTCCTCATACTCATAGTTAAAACCTGAGAATTGGACCTTCCTCCTCTGCGTAGGGGTGGCTGGAAATTAGACTGTTCAGGAAAGTATCAGCTCAGATGGACATGACACAAAAAAGTGAGCAACCATACTTGCAGTGACAGCAGGAAAAATCAGAGTAAATTGGTTCAGGACGTTTTCCTGTCCTTTTTTTTTTCTTTTCCCCTAGAGATTTGGTGCTTCAGCTGAGACTTTAGGTGCCAGGACAGGAAGCTCAGTGGCATTAAGTTTCTAGGTCTGTGACTCTAATAGAGTTTATTAGGGCTTTTTAAAGCCTGATTGCTTTTTAAAGCAATAAACAAAGCAGTGTTCTGATAAGAACTGCAGTTTCTAATTGTCTGTGCTGCAAAGCATTGCTTTGTTTCTTTTTACTTCCAAGTAAGTGATACACAACTTTATCTAAAAATGTGTTGCTATTATAGAAATAAGAAAAAATATGTTTTGCTGATGACTTTTTTTTTCCTTAATAGCAGACAGTTGGGAATTCTCTTCTTCTGCCAACCTTCCTGGCTCTTTTTCTATCAAGGATGTTTTCATTAGCAGTTTGGTGTTCCTCCATTGTTTACCACTTTCCTCTAGCTCTAAATAACACAGTTTCAGCCCATTATAAAGCAAACAACCTCTTCCTGGAAGATTAAAAATGGCTACCAGAAGATACTTGTTTCCTTTCTCTAAGTATAAAGTTTCCTCCAAATGTAGTAAATAAATAAATAAATAAATAAAAAAGAAATAAAGTAGGGACAGGAAACAAGACTGACAGTGGTAAGATGGCTCCAGTTTTTGCAGTTCAATATTAATATACATGTCAAAAATCAGTGGTTCAGCAACTGCCAGTCTATGTCTTCCTTTGCAGGAGGTGGTGCCCTCCCTGAATTCACTGTGCCCTGCACAGTTGAGGAGGAATATATCTATATATCTATCTATACACATATATCTATATGTATATGTGCATTTTTCTTTCTCCTATGCAAAATTCACCCCCCTGAAAAGTCAGTGAATTCATTATCTTAGATTGAGACCAAACTGTGATGTGGAGAAGACAAGCATTAGGCACCTCTGCATAAGGATGACCTTTTTCTTTTACACAGAAGGTGGTGGGAGCTGCAGAAGGTGCAAAGATCAAGAAAACGTGGAGCAATAGGGTATATTTGGAAATAGTGTAAGATGGCTGGGAAGGGGCCCAGGGTCTGGGATCTGATCCTCTGATCTGTTACTCTGGAGAATACAGACTTCCTTAAGGTCTGGTTTGCTTCAGCTCTTTACCCACAAAATTGAGACTTATATGTTGTATTATTTCTTCTTCCTCAATCTGTTTTTTTTCCTTGTTTTCTCAGTGGAAGAGAGTAAGGTGCTTTAAAGTTTAGAGCTGAAAACAGTAGACAGGCTGGGGAGCGATGTAGTAAGAAATGAGTAAGAAACATGACTTTGAATGAGGAGTGGTGTCTGGTGGAACGTGGCTGCCCCGTGGCCACGTGGAACCACAAAATCATTGCCATCAGTGAGCAGCTACATGAGCACATTCTCTAATGGATCCACCCAGCTGGGAAAGCTACTTGAGGGTAGGCCAAAGACATAGACACATGGGTATTTTTCTGGGGGCTGACCCAGCTGAAGACACTGTTTTTGGCATTGGATTGTAGAGGATTTTCAGTGTAACCAGTGGTAACACATTCTTGTGTAGACAAACTGGTAGGGCACCCTTGCAATTCCCTGCTCTCTTTTGCTGATTATAGTATGATGCTGCAGTATCTCTGTTTTATGTGCACTTCCAGGAGAACCACAGTATATTTTTAATAATACCAGTAGGCTGCAGTTCCCATCAGAGACCTTTAGGCTGCAACTTCTACCAAAAAGGTGGCAAACAAAGTGAATAGTGCTGTCGAGGCAGCGTGCAGAGGATGAGTGTGCTGCATGTTCTGAAAGTGCTGCTCACACAGAGCTGAAGCAGCTGATCCCCAGCATTTCACAGGGCAGGGCTTTCAAACTAGTAGTTCCCAGATTATTAATTCACGTGTCACTGAAGTTGTGTGTAGCTCCAAAACGACACATGGCTTGGCAGGGACTGAAAGTTGCTGCTGCTTTTGGTGGTGCTGGTTTCAGCATCTGCTGTGCCCGCCATGGGCAGTAGAAACACCCCAACAAAAATGTTTGCAAAACCCTGGTGTATAGAAATAGTGATAAATTTATTCTCCCATAAGGCTCCTCTAAAACAAACAGAAAGTTAACAAAAAGAAAGGGATTGTCTGTGTGAAATGTCTGTTCACAGCAGTGCTTTCCAGTGTGACTAATTACAGATTTCATACTGATGCCATTTCCTTTTAACTTCTTTTTGGTGCTAATTTCAGTTTAACAAAGCATAACATTAAGAAACAAAAACCCCAATGAGTGAGAATAGCACGGGGCTTTCACATGCTCATCAGAAGGCTTTGTATTTTGGATTAAGTAAGCCACATTACTTGTTGGAGTTTGAATTGATTGTTGCAGAGATGCCACCCCATGGTTCGGTTCCTGAAGGCTGGAGAAATCATTGCTACACACAGAACATCCTGGGGACCCCTGTGTAAAGCAGCTGGTGAGTTCTGAACAGATGCTTGCAAAAAAGGGACACCACATAACAATCATTTCGAGATCATCTTTTACTGGCAAAGGAAACTGAAGACCTGTGATGCGAGGTTTTCATGCTCCTCTGCATATATCCCTGAGGATCAAGGGTTCTTGCTGAAGCCACGTGGAGAACCCTGTGCCCTCCTGGGTGAAGTGACTGTCAGGTTGTCAAGGGAATGTAGAAAGGAAGATAAAGTGCTTTGTGCAGCTGTTTGCACAGGGCAGCAAGTGCAGCAACCACAAAATCAAACAGCAATTTCGATTGTGAAGTGTGAAAGCAGCTTCAATCTTTCAGATTGCAATCGGTTCTCCAAGTGTTTACCCTGCTGTTAGTCTGCAATTGTGTTGATCTGTGAAGTCCGATATCAGAGGATGTAAGAGATTTTATTGTTGTGTTTCCTTTGACTCCCTGGCATTGGCTTCTTTACCACCATGAGGGGAAGTGGCAGAGAGCACAGCTGATGCACAGCACGTTGGAGGAGAGGTGCAGTACAGGTTAATAGAGAGCAAACACCAGCATTATGTACAAGCAAGGTCTGACTTGTTATGCACCCGCCTCTTCTGCATTCTGAGTGGTGTTTTCAAGGGCAACTGTGATCTGTAATGTTTTCTGTCATCAGGCCTCCTCCAGCCATTTGCATTCATAACTTATTAATCTAAAACACTCTCTGAGAGTATTTGGGCTCGCCAGTATCAGAGTTTTAACATGTGGCTGCTGTGAATAGAGAACTCACAATGTTCTTTTGGACCTAGAAATGGACTCTGACTTAGCATATTGTATTTTTCTTCCATTACGTGCAAATATTGGTCTGTTCGAACAGGCCTTCAGTGTTCATTTCTGAACTAGTTCTTTTTTAAAAAAACTTAGCTATTAATGCAGCTTGTTTTGTTCTTCAGCTCTTACGACAAGCAGCTCTCACACTCCTTTCCACAGGAGACTCCAATGCTTTTCTGATACTGAAAAATGGCCATTTCCCCAAATGACCTCTGCTGAGGGGAGTTTTATTTGGGTTGTACTGCATTGATTCCTAGGCAAAGGTGGCTCTACTAAAGGTTATCTCCTATTTCCAGTTTGGACACTCACAACTCATTTTAAGTGTGAGGATAGACCTAGACAGTGATCTACATCTCTGTGTTGAAGGAGACAACATGAATTATGATGTCAGGTAATAACAGGTGTAACCTGTGCAGTAAAACATGAAAAAAGCTTTCACTGCTCTGCCTACACTTGGCCACATTCCATAGCAAAGGCCACTGCTACATGTCCTTAGGAAGGCCTGTTCTGTCTGTATCTGGATACAGGCTGCCACTTCCACTGTGCATGTTCTTCTTCGTTCCTGTATTTCATACTAAAATTCAGAAATAAGACTGAATATGTTATACAGCACTGCTTTGACCTGTCTTGGAATGATGCCCTGGATGTTATGCAGCTTGGACACAGCTATTACACGCCTCTGTGGCTGCCAAAAATCTTGTCTGTAATTGCAGGAATGAATGCAGTAGTATTTGCCTTCTGTGCACCTCAGGTACCACATAAGTGCTTGGCTAAATAAGTGCTGTCCTGAAAATGTAAGCACACAAATAGATGATTTATGTAGGTGCATCAAGCCTTTACAAGAATGAATTGTAAGTACATGTACAAACACGAAGAGAGGCACAATGTTAAAGGGAGAGGAGTATCTTTTGGCAGATTTGGACAAATATATGGAAGTGTTTAAATGTAAAGCAGGAGAACACATTCTGTTGATGGATGGTGCTGCCTTGGGAGACAGCTGGCAACACAAGACTTGACACAGTACACATTGAGGATCCTTTCCTAAATACTTTGTGATTAAAGAAGAGTTACATATGTGATAAAAGCAAGTCAAGTGGGTTTTAATAATCACAGATGAACAGAGGCAGGATTAAGATGGGACAATGCTTTGCCTTCAAGGTTCTTCTTTCAAAAAGTCTCCAGTGTTGATTCTTTAATTCTTATTTTACTTATGTCTGCGGGGACTCTGCATTTGTATGCAAAAGGGAGAACATGGACTGTCCTCATGACCTTTCCATGAGAATCACCCTCCCCAGAAGGCTGATACACTACTGCATCACAGCTCTGTGCTGGCAGATTCTGTTGGCTGATTTGTAGGAAAGGCTTGTTTTTTACCCCAGTAAAATATTTAAGGATTTCAAAGCTTTTTTTCTTGCACCTCTTGGTTTTTCTTTTTTTTTTTTTTTTAGCATCTGATTTGAAGAGGGAAAAGCAGGCTGGGATGGGAGTTGGATACATCATCCTCATTGCCCTCGCTGTGGTTGGGTTTGTGCTGGGAGTTGTGAGCCTTCTCATTTTCCAGTGCCAGCGAAAGATGGGAAGATACAACTTCAGAATCAAGTCTGACAACTTCAGCTACCAAGTGTTCTATGATTAGAGATCCTCAGGTTACCTTGTGTAAGTACTGAATTATGACCAGTTACTTTTTTTTAGCTGTTCATCTCCTTCCTGAAATGGTGAAATACTTGTAGATGACCATCCTCTATTTGAGAGTATTTGAACCTGCTCTCATTTTGGCTGTGGGTGAAGGCCACAGAAGGAAGAAAGAAACTGTTCTTGTCTATTTTCAAATGCTGCAGGACTACAGAGGAGGAAGACAGCATTGTGTTCTTCATCTTCCTTCATGGCTTCCACCTCAGGCAGAGTAAATGACACACCACTTGAAAAGAACACCAATAACCATTTCCATACAAGAAGCACATCACTTTTGGTTTTGGACCATGGATTAGCATAATAAAGGAGACAAACTTTAGCACTGTCTTTATAAACTTGCTTCAGAAGTTTTCCCTTTCTGCAATAGCTTGGGGATTTTTGGTGGTTTTTAGTTTGTTTGTTTTTAAGAAATATTTTTCAAGAAAATAGAGGGATGTTAAACATAAAGAGCTGGAAATGCAGATGATGTATGAATAGTGCACTCAAGTGCCTGCAGAGGGTCTGAAAAGATAGCTCTGAGGAGACTTAACCACTGTCACACGTTCTGTCTCTGCAACTTGGGAATTTAACACTATCCCAGAATATCATAGGGTTCAGCACTTTTTCTGTAAAAATTACTGTTCTAGTAGCTCACCACTATTTGGCTTGCTTGCCTCTTTAAGAGGAGGAGAGAGAGGTGAGAAAGCTGGCAGGCTGAAAAAGAACACCTCACTCAGTGGAAAAAGAGAAGAGAAAATAAACAATTTTTGCTGCTGGCAGCCCATGATTACTACTACTTCACAACTCAAGGATGTTTACCCGTGGATCAAATTCTGTTCCTGGAAACAGGCTTGTTTGACATTGTTACCAGAGTTAGTCAGCAATCCTTTCCTGGGGGAGGGCTCCTGCATGACAGTGCAGCTACCGTGACCACAGTAAGTTCACCGGACTCATCATGATGGTATTTGCAGATAATTTAGTTCGATTCACCCGAGCGCAATAATGCTTGATATAAATCACAGAGAAAGGGCAGGGAACACTGCACCCCAGCTATCAGCTTGTAAATCTTGAATAGTAGGCACCAGTAGCTCATTTTCTCCCAGTTTTACATCACATTGATCACACTGTAGTCACCCATCTGTGGGCAGCTCCCAGGAGGTGGCTGCAGGTGAGGGTGATGCTCTGATGGCTTCCCAAAGGCTGGGCAGGGCTACCTGTTGGGATTCCAAAGGGATGATACCCAGGACTCCTTGGACTAACTCCAGCAGCTGTACAGTTCCATCAGTGACAAAAGTCCCACCATGGAGCCATAAAGGGCATATTGAGGTTCATTAAAATAAAACCAGCATATGAAGCCTCTGAGTCTCTCCACAGAGAGAAGAATGGCTTGTCTTATATTCATCACCCTGCTCTCTTGAGTGGTCATGGGTGTTTACAATACCTGGGAATTCTGGAGTTGTGCAAACAGAGTGCAGCATAAAGGATATTTTCAGGCTCATGATGCTTACACATCACACTTTAGTCTCAGCTAATGGCTCCTTTTAGAAGCTGGAGCTACTCAGCCCTTCTTTCCTATATATTAACTTTCTTTGGAAGTTACTTTCTTTGATTTCTCAATCATGATTAATTTGTTTTAATTTTTTTTCCTAGTGGGATCATGTCTCATCACATGGAGAACTGAAACTTGTCTTCACTCAACATTTGGCTTTCATTGCTCTTCTCAGTAGTGGACTGGATGGGTTGCAACACTGACCCTTCCAAATTAATATCCTACAAAAAGGCTTCTATACCCTCTGTTTTCTTTCCTCTCTTTTTTTCTTAACAATCTACGTCTTCCCTGGTGTCCTAAGAACTATTAATGACTACAGCTCCAGCTTCAAGTGAATTTTGGCAGTTTTTTCCATGGATAAAATAGAAGGGAAAAACCAAAGACCTCATTATTAAAATTCCAAGATTTGGCTCTCCCACTGTACCACATCACTGTGTGCCCATCTCAGCATCACTTGTGCCCTTAGTATTGACAAGGTGCATGTTTTTATAAATATTCCAGGAAGTGAATCATCTAAACCTGCAGAGAAATCTCTTTTTCGCTTTGTAATTCACTGTTTACTTAAGGTGAGGTGGAAACTTTGAGCTGCAACAACGTTAAAGACCTAATTGTGCAATGCCTTAAGTATACTGAGAACCTGGAGAACAAGCATTGGATTTGCCACCAAGTAAGGAAAAGGCACCGTGAATTCAGAGCTTAACCTGCTCAGGGTGTTCTTCAGCACTCTGATTTTGGGATTTGGTTGGAAATTCTGTAATCGACCAGGACTCAGTGGAAAAAGAGAAGAGAAAAAAGAAACGATTTTTCCTGCTGGCAGCCCATGATTACCCAGATAAGCCAATTGGTACCTGTATATTCTGTTAATTAGACCATAATGATCGTGCAGTCAAGCCACAAGTGAGAGCACTCCAATTATAACTGAATAGTTTATATATTTGAGCTGAGTTTTGCCCGGCTGCAAGACCATTATTGCTGCAGCAAAGGCTCAGTTTACACACTCCATTGGGTACAACAACAGTTGGTTCAGCTGGATAAACTGGAACAAAAGCCATTTCCACACAGTAAGCATCTCCTGCAGGATTCTTTCCTGGAGTGCATTTCTCTGCTGCTCCAAAACTCCACTTCAGGGAGTGTGTTGGAAGATGGAGAGTGAAATGATGTTGTAGCTTGTCCCACCTCCCCTTTATTATGTTTGCTGCATGTACTCCTCCCACACAGTGACAGTCTGCTGTGTCTGGGTCACATTTAATTCAGCAATTTATAGTGAACAAACTAATTCCTCCTCAATACCAATGGACAACATTATAAATAATTCTTATTGGAAACTGGTCCTTAAGTCAAAGGCATGAACACTGTTAGTAGCCATAGCACCTGGGTGCTGATTTTTTGGTACAGAACAGAATAGGAAAGTTGCTTTTCTATTCCCCTAGTCCAATTTCTGTTAGGTAATAAGATTAATGGGATAAAACACTTCCACATTTTGCAAAAGGTGATACTAATGGATCTTAGAGGTTTTATATACACCTTTTAAATACATAAATACACTTCAGAGTTGGTCATTTGCATTGGGCTTTAGATTCAGGTGACTGTGTAAGGAGTAAAACACTTTGACTTGATTTGTCCTTGCTACCATACCAGATCTTTATATATATATATATACACACACATATAATTTAGTTGTCATTAGTGAAACTAAATTATCTTTGCAGTCTTAGAGTCTGATGAACATAGAAGCATGGAATGGTTTGGGTTGGAAGGGACCTTAAAGACCATCTAGCTCCAAGTCCCTGCCATGGCCAGGGACACCTTCCACTAGACCAGGTTGCTCAGAGCCCTGTCCAGCCTGCCCTTGAAAACCTCCAGAGATGGGGAGTCCACAACTTCTCAAAATAACCCTTAGCTTTTTTAATGTAGGAATCTCTTAACTTTTTCTCAGTTTTCTCTCAAATATGTAATGTGTTTGCCTTCTGCACACAGTGAAAGAATAAGCGATTTTGTTACAAATATTTTTCTAGTTTTTAGTACTTACAATCCTGAACTCCTCGGAGGTGACAGGACTAGAGATCTGCCTATTGATTTTGGTGGAGCTATGCCATTTACAAAAGCTGAGCACTAATCTTTGGAGAAAATGCAAACCAATAGCTTGTCCCTGACGCTTTGCATGCTCAGCAGAAACTGCTATTGTGACTGAGTCTGTTTAAAAGAATTTTGATGTCTTAATAAAAGCAGTCTTGTAACTTATTCTTGACTTCTGTACTGTTATATTTTCCTTTATGATTTAGTCACAGGTATTAAGATGTACATTAGTGCATGTGGCAGCTTCAAGTATCAGTATAATGTTCAAACATCACTTAAAACACAATACATGGCCTTACCCAAACACCAATAGACTGCAATCACCAACAACTTTATATATATACATATACTTACTAAGGATCTTTTTCTTCAACTTTACAAAAGAAAAAACATATTTTTAGTTTCACGTTTTGCAGAAAAGGCAGCCAAAGGAGTATTCAACATTCCCAGTTCAATAATAGAATCGTAGCAATGTAGTGATTTAATCTGAAACTACTGTCACACCAGCCTCCCTGGGCTTTTAATTTGTACAGTTCTGACAGCTGCTCCAAAAGAAGAATTGAGAGCTCTTGTGCTTTAAAAAACCTGTAATTAAAGAGCAGCCAGCTCTATATAGCTCCTTTACCCCTGAGGACAATTGTCCAGGGGGTCCCATCCACTAATTCCTTAAATGACAGAAAGTTTGCTCTTCCAAAATTCAGTGTCCTGATCCTACTCTTCACCTGGCCCATATACCTCAGGCTTGTGAAACCCACCAGAACATGATCACTGCAGCCCGGGGTGCTGCTAATATTGACATCTCTAACATTTAAAAACATAAATAAAAATAAATAAATAAAATAATTAAAAAAACCCAAAAACATTTAGTTCATCTAAGCTGGTAAACAACAGGACCAGTAACGCTTCCTCTCTGGTTGGACTGTCTATCACCTGGATTAAGAATTATCCTCCTTGCACTCCAAGACACTCATGGATTTCCTACAGATTGCTGTGCTCCTTTTCCAGCAGCTGTCAGGGTGATTGAAGCCTCCCAGCAGGATCAGAGCCTGCGAGTATGAACGTTTTGTCAACAGACTCCCCTTGATCAGCGGCCTGTAGTAAACACCCACTACAAGGTTTCCTTTGTTGGTTTGCCCTCCAGTTCTCACCCATGAGCTCCCAACTCGTTCATCACTGTCTTTCAAAGACAGCTCTGTGCAGTCAATCAAATTTTTTACACAGAGAGCAAACTCCTCACCCCTCCTTCCTTGTCAGACCCTTCTGAACATTTTATAGCCATGGATTGCAGCGCTCCAGCCACGGAATTCATTTCACCACGTTTCAGACAAAGTTCTGATGCTTTAGGGGGCTCATTTTAGACTGCTGTGATCAGCTCCCCAGGTCAGGGATGAAGCAATTTCACCAAACAAGTAGTTCTGACACTGATTGTTTGGAGAGAATTCTAGAGGAGCAGCACTGACCATCTCCTCTCTCCAATTTGCATTGCCCAAGTTTTGTTCTTTTAATGAAGCACTGGCTCTAGGTAATTATTTAAAACAATGGATGAAAAATATGGAGAAATGAAGATTTAGTTCTGACCTCTTACCTAGTTTTCTAGGAAGTACTTTAGACCAGTGGTGTGCATGCCTCATGTCCCTATTGTTCACTTGGGACACAACACTGCTGACACCTGAAGCGAAACACTCATCATTATTCCTTTCTCTTGTATTATAATGTTGCCAAATTCTGGTCCCAGCAGAGTTGGGGACAAAAAGCTGAGATAATTGGAAAATTTCCTTGTCCATTAAAATATGAACAAGCCATGTTTTTTATATAATGTCTGTTTATAATGTCTGTTTGGAAAGTTTTCTTTCAGGCTGCGGAAGGAAACAACTTAAAGGAACGGAAAAAGTTTAGCTGCAATTGATCTAAAAACATGATGTTGTCTCAGCCTGGTGGAAAGCTTAGAGCAGAGAGCCACCTAAGGGCTTCCCTGATCTGCTCCATAACATCTCCTCTGCCTGGGGATCTGTCCTGCAGAGCTTGTGGAAAACCTACAACTGAGTGGTAACCTCTCCATAGAGATGCTACTTTTCTTCAAGACCCCTCACTTTTTTTTACCCCCCAAGATTTCTCTTCTCTCCTTGCTGTCTGATGATCCAGGCAGGCCCACTTCAGCCTAGGGTTTTCAGGGAATCTCTGCCTGTTTCCACAACTCAGTTCTCTCTGGCTGTGTGTACATCTGCCACCTTGTGCTGAAGGGTGCACTATGTACACTCTTGGATGTGATACTGCCAGAGGGTAACACGGGACACTTGTCAATGCAGCACCTTTCCACATGCAGAAAATTCCCTCGAAGGTGTTCTCTGCCTCTCCTGCCCTTCTTTCCCCAAACAGTGATTTTTTTTTTTCCCCCTGCAACCTAAAGAAAGAAGAGTTTCAGAGACTTAACACAAAGACTTGTACAATAAAAACAATCCTAGCACAAGTGTAAAAGCAGAATCAAGAAAAAAGCCATTTGGAGATGGCAAGGAAAAGAGCAATAAAGGACCGAAGCAGTGAAGCTCAAATGCTGTGTGGAAGTGTCACTAATAAATCACTGGTGTAGTGCTTGCAATGGATCCTGAAATGACAACCCACAATATTCTCTTTAAATCATCTGCTGCTCAATCCTGTCTATAATAAAGGCTATAAAAGAATTGGAATGGTCAGGGTGAATGTGTGTTGCTGCCTAGAACTGAATTTGCTGAAATAATAACTGTAGGGAATGAAAAATATTAACAGTTTTATCAAACTATTTTTGTGTGTGTGTTTGGGTTTGTGTTAGACAAATTTCAACACAATTTAGGAATACTGTAATTATTGAATGCAGAGAGCTCAATTTGATCCTACTTTTCTCCCTTTTCCTCTTCCTGTCCTTTCAGAGAAAGCATTAGTAGAAGTGTTTTTCCTAGGCACGTATAAAAATACTTTATACCTTCTGGAAAATTGCAAGTATCTGTAGGCATTGACAAAGTAATAAACCTTCATTTAAACAGTGATTTTCTCCTTTTCCTGCTTTACTATGGAAGAAACCATTCTAAAAAGGAAAGTGGCATTCCTCTTCAATGATATTTCCATTCAAGCCTGTAAGCAACACAATCTCTTGGCACTTGCTTTTCTTTGGTGTCTGTTTTTGCTACGGATAACTCTGAGGAGGAGCAGAACCTAAGGACAGCGAGAAGAGAAAATATGCCTCTGTTAGTTTATCCATGGTGCAGTGAATATTTGGCACCTTGCTACATGGGTTTACTCTTTCTTCACCTGAATAAAGCCTTTGGGAAAATCCAAGGGTAAAATTGGAAAGCTTAATATAAGCATTGAGGAATGTTTGGGAACTCCAAGTATGGTGACATTAGGGAGCTATTTTCAGGGATATTTGGAAGCAGATCAGACAGGACAGGTTATGAGTAGCAGTATTCTCAACTGGCTGACACAAATCCATCCCAAAGCACCAAGAAATCTCTGGGATTGTGAAGGTGACTCTGAATTCCAAGAAGAGACTGTCTTTGTGACAGAGACGCTTGGGAAGAATTTTCATTCAGGTAAAATTATTCCAGCAAACAATATCACTGTATCCCTGGGAATGTGCTGGCAGCTAATAGCACTATTGACTGTGGATTCTTCATGGCTTATGTTCAGTAATACTGAAACTCTTCAAACCCACTGAGGAAATGTCTGGCTTTGCCTCTCATAGTGCTTTAGCTTTGATATGAAATGCCTGCCACAAACAATGCTCCCGTTTATTGGCTGCCTTTGGCACCTGGCAATTTGAAAGGATGAAGGAAGGGCTTCACATTGATATTTTGGACAAATACAGCTATTATTAGTACATGGAGACAGAAGGGTCTTGTGTTTGTTCTAGTGCCAACCTTGAGAGACTAATTACTGAGTATTATAAATGAATAGCATCTCAAGCCTAGTCTAGCACATTTAATTGTGCACTGTTTCATACCTGCTCAGAGAGAATGTGAATTGTCCACTGAGTTACTCAGCCAAGAATGTGAAAATATGGCTGAATTTGGAATAGCATGTTTGCTGAATCCAACTTTAGTTTTTACAGAGCAGCTTTTGCAAAGCACAGGGCCAAACCAAATGCCACAGCTCTTGTCCATGTCCATAATACATAAGTCAGGAGATAAACAAGACGCTCTTGGCTTCTGGAGGAGTTTTCTTTATGTCCCCAAAAGAGTTTCAGCTGATAGGTTGTTTGAGACTACATTTTGCAGTCCATTTAAAAATCACCCGGTTTAGTCTCAGAAGATACTAGATAGCACTGCAAATTTCCTGAGTTTCTTGGTACTTATTTGAGTACCTGTTAGCATCTGTTTGACTGCCTGTTCTCCTCCTTTTCACTTGTTTGGCTACAGCTGTGACATCTAATTTTTGAACAGGAGAAAGGCACCTCTGTTGTCTGAAAGATCTATGAGAAGCATGACCCTGTAAGATTTAGTCTCTCCCCTGAAATGACATCTGACTCTCATCTGACTTCTTATGAAACCCAAAGTCAGTATGGCAGGATGTCCAGGCTGCCTTGTCCTATATCCTGGTTGTCCTACATCCTGGACTTCTCTTGTGGGACAGTACACCTGAAGATAACACACAATCCCTCTTCTACTACTTCCTAAAACAGACCATTGGAAGCTGCATGGGAAGACACATGTTTAGCAACTTCT